TCAAATGGTTAGGATGTACAGGAGAAGGGAAGATGAGGTTGACGAGAGGTTAAGTTTAGGCGCCTACGGATTGTTCACGTAGGTTTTCTGAAGAGGCATTGTCCATGATTCGCTCGTTCAGTGAGGTTGAGGATGGGGAGTGGGAGCTCCCGGTTCGTGGCGCGGAAAGGTAGTCTACGTTGGGTGTTGTTGTGGGCGACACAGGGCTGTTATCGGACTCTGCGTCGGGAATCGGAAAAGTGGTGATCACTTGAGAAGCTGGGCGCCCAATATCTTCTTCGGGTTGCTCTTCACGTGCGTCTTTGAACTCGGCTTCATCGTTGGTACGCAAACTGAGACCGGTGGTGGTGCTCATGCTATGCAATGAGTGAGGGCGTTCTGGGTTGCGCTCCGACATTAGCGACTCGCCGCTGCCGAGGATGGGTTCCGAGGCCCGGGGCTCCTCGTGAGGAGTGGGCTTTCGCAGCTTGAGACGCTCTTCGGGAGGTATGTTTTGCCATTCAGACCCGAAGGTGACAATGGACGCCTTCTTTCCGTGAACAGTGAAGCTTGGAGCCTTGCGAGAGAGGACTTCACCGTCGCCAGAGGTTTGGTCATCCTCCTCCTGACCAATACTAGACACTGAACTTCGGTTCTTCTTTGAATGGGAATGATGTCTATGAGCATGGGAGTCACGTAAAGTGCGGTGAAGGCTGCGACGAACGCGACTCGGTCTATCGCCTGGAGGTGCGTCCGAGGATCCCTCCAGCAGTTTCTCGGGGGTTGCAGTGGGTGCAATATCTTCCTCTTTGCGTGCAGTTGGTGAACCACTCACGTCCAGAAGACCGGCTTCCCTGAGAAGGCGCTCTTCATTGTCATCGAAACTGACGGGAGAAGTGAGCTTGGAAGCCCGCGACGCAAGACTGGCACCATCCCACTTGCTTGCGCGACTAAGAACAGAAGCTTCCCGCTCAAGCTGAATGGTAGTTGGATCGGGAGAGTATGACTTAGCGCGTTCAGGAAGAGTGATGATAGAGCGACGACGACCAATGCGAGAAACGTCACCCGAATTCGTCGATCCGGGGATACTGGGACGGCGCATTACTTCATTGGAGGGTTTGGTGAGCAATCCTGTTTCTGGAGTTTGGTCGGTAGGATTCACAGGGTGCTCGGATGGATCGCGACTTGATGCAGTATGGACAACGCTGCCAGCTCTTTCCACACTTGGCTCCGATTTCACAGACGGCCCGGAAAGAGAAGCCATGTGTGCTGCATCAGACTGTGCTGTCTCGGCAATGGATCCCACTGTACTCGCTGCCTCTTCGTCTTCACCTAGATCTCGAAGGAGGACTTGGCGGTAGCATTTGTTTCGCCAGATGTCCTGTCGCACCCATTTCAGCTTGGCAGACAGTCGGCCTGCAGCCATGATGACACCTTCTCTTGCCCGAGCGTGAACCGGAGTGAGAACCTGCAAGTGTCGTGCGTTTTGTAGCAGATCTTCCAGTTGCTTCTGAGAAACAAACAGCTTCTCATTTGCTTCGCGAATCTTGTGGCTCATCAATTCTCGTCGGGCCGCAACGAAACCAGCAACAATGTCGGTATCAATGCTAGGAGAATCAGGCTCCAGGTCACCTGTCTGTTGGGACAATTGCGACGACATGGAGTCCAACCGTTGACTCTTGCGGTACCTTTGGCCTTCGTAATTGGTGGCAATCATTCCCTTGGTGCGCACACCGGTCGTCCTGAATGCCGCGGCATAATTGAGGTGCGCAAGCCAATCATTCATTTCGGGTTCACTCTGAGCGAGGAAAGTCTCTTCCAACGCGTTGTGTCGAACAAACATGAAGGCAAATTTGTGCTTCTTGTAGCTCGAGTCCAGGAGGGCAACTGCATCGCTAGTCGACATGATGGCATCCGGCTTGAAGTCAGAAAGAGGCGGTCTGAATACAAGGGTTCCACGACGTCCGGTCTTGACATAAGCTTCGTGCTGCGCCATGAGAGAGCGAACCCATTGGACATTGCGGAAGAAGTAGAGCTGTGAGAATGTGAGAATCGCACCCCATTCCTGCCATGGTGACCTGGCCCGCTTCTTCTTGGGATCTTTCCTCCAGAGAATTCCGACTTTAGCCACCTTGATATCAACCAACCCGGGGTTTGAGTCGAGGGGATTGTCTAAACTGGATGGCATGAATGCGTCAGGCCGAGAACGTAAAGATATGATCTGCAAGATACCAGACTTGGTAAAAGCCTGGTGAAGGTTCTCCATATCCGGTGGACCAGCAGTCCCAAAATGGTCGTATGTATCATCAAGGTCCATGACATCCTTCAAGCTTGGTCGCAGGGATTCGAGTTTCCCATCCAAGATGAGGGTATAAGGATCGACGGGCTCCCGGCTAATTCGGCCGAGATTTTCAGTACTGGTGCTCTTAAAAAGAGCACGACGGGGCTTTGCAAGGTGGCGGTCACGAAGATTAGCATCTTCAACATGAATGAATGGAGTATAAGAGATATTCTCATAGAAACACTCCAAGATGTCTTCCGAGATTCCCTCGCCACGACAATTCTTAACGTAGTCAGGCTTCTGCATCTTGCGTTTGTTGTTTTTGTTGAACACATCGGTGTGGAGAATCAGAATAGAGAATGCAATAAAGTATGCTTTATCGGGGGACGCGAAAATACCGGGGTTGCATTCATGATAGCGGTCAGCGAATGCTTGCAGGAACCGGTCAATCTGCTGTGTCTCTTTGGGAAGCTCAACCTCCATTAAGAGTTTTCGGATTGCCATATCAATGGGATCACCAAAATACGAGAAGCCTCTCATATACTTCCGCAAGCCCACTTTGAAGAATTCCTCGTCCGATTGAGCAAGAACGCCCGCAATCATGCCGCGCGGGAGACACATTTCCAGCCGACTTAGATACGTCGCTGGAGTATCCGTCTCTTCCCGCTTTGGGACTGGTGGCGGTTCCGGTTTTGATATAGGCGTAGATGAGCCACCGGGCGAACCGCGTGGAGCTGGGGGCGATGAGTTTTGCCTCAATCGCTGCGTGATATTGAACATGTCCCCAAAGCTTTTGCGACCACTAGTAGACGTCGAAGTGCGCCCCGAAGACGCCAGGTACGTTGTTGGAGTCAAGTCGTCCTGATTCTCGGCCAGCGATCCCATGGTGGACGATCGCCCTCGGTTCTTGAATGATGGATTCGATCGGACGGAACGTGCTGAATTAGTCGAGTCATTCCGGAACAGTGGTGGCACGCTCGAGGCAGGAGCCAGTTGTACTGTGGATCGAGATGGTGAAGGTAGTGGTGAGATTTGGTCTTGGTTGTCCGAATGTTCGGACTTTGGTGTATCTACCGGTGGGAACTTCGGTCCATTGTCCGTAACTTGAGTCAACTGCGGCAGTTTTGGAGGAAGGGGAAATAGAGGGCTTCGCGTTCGTTTCAATCGTGGCATACGGAATCGTTTCGTTGCTGTTGCACCCGCTGCATCGCGAGGGGAATTGGTTCGCGTGACAGTCTGGTCTCCGTAACTCTGATCTGACCGAGACGACTCGGAGAACCGGGGGTCGATCACTGACGAGCGCTGAGAGTCGCTGTGCTGATCCCGGTTCCCCCGAGATGTTGTTGACAGCCGTCCCGGTTCTTCCGGGATACTCTGCGACGTTGCGAGAACAGAATCGGTAACCTGAGAGTCGGCTGATCCCTGACCTCTCCGACGAGACTTGCCACTGGGTTGTTCCGTCGAAGACCGGGGCAATTCTTCCATGGATTGTTTGCGTGACGATGGTAGAAAGTTGAGCTTGGATCTTTGTTTCACAGGCTGGTCGAGTTCGTGGCTTGTAGGGGCGGTAGTAATGATCTTGGGAGCTGTGCCAAGATGGGACGGTCAGTTCTTCTGCATCAGTATGGATGTTGACGGGTTCACTTACGCGGTAGGGAAGGCACTGGAGGCGCGTCTTGGCCCGCCTTGGCGTATGACTTGGAGAGTTGGGGATCGGAGGCATGGCGTAGTCTCATGAAGCTGAATCGATTACGGCGCAAGCTAGGAGTGTCCCCCGAGGATGGACCTGCAAAGTCCGACTGAGCTACCCCATTCTCCCCTGGTACCTGAAGACCCCGCAACTGAGGTCCTGGAGTATCTAGCGCGGGAGATCGAGGGATGGACTCGGATAATCTGGGTTCGGTGGCTGGAGGGACAGGACGAGGTAGGTGTTCACTGCGACGTGACTGGCCTTCGATGGTGCTCTGTCTCTTGGAGTTGCCATCAGCCACCAACCTGAGTCCTTTCCAATGCATGGTAGACAGAGTGTGTCAATGACAGACTCAAGGACACATGCATGTAACTCTAGAAGAGGTTGGACATGGTTAGAAGTCCAGAACGTGTGATCTGAGGATCTGGTGGAGAGGGTCGTCAGCTCGCGAAAAGGGGAACGCGGGTAGGGAGGACCAACGTTCTAGATCGTTGCTACTCCAGAACGCCACTTTTTTATTTCCTCGAAAAATCAGGGAAAAATCAAGAAACAGAAGTAGCTATGAGGGGCAAGGCAGACGGGTTTTATCCAGAGGTCCAAGACTCCAAGATACCAAGAAACATCCCTGACGCGACCTGAGCGTCTTAGCGGGACGCCGTCAGAGGGAACAGATACTCTAGAGATAGAGATAGAGAAAGAAATGGACGTAGAAAACAAACAATAGAAAGAGATATCAATATGCAGCAATGTAGATCGAGTTAATATAGATCTACTACAAGTTAACGTAGTTAATTAAACAGTATATAATCGGATCGGGTCACTGACGTAGAAAAGCATGTCATCTCCCCGGATCTTGACTTAGCAACTCCAACGTCGAGTCACTTCCAGAACCTCATCTTCTCGAGTCGACGAATTGTCGTTTTCGAACATCATACATTGAATATTGAACATTCAACCTCGAAATGGCTCTTTAACCGTACAGTCGTATCTCCCCTTCCCTTCTCCGCACCCGAACCCCGGCCTATTTTATCCCTTCGACGCATCCTCAGCATGCGTCTTCTACCCTCACTCGTGGTCGCCGCGACCTTTTGCCCTCTCATATCTGCCGTGCCCGCAGGCTCCAGCATCACCCCACCGCCGCCCCTCCAGCCTGTCCACCTCATTACTCATTCTGACCCACGCCGCCCATGGACTCGGCTGCGCGATTGGGTAATCGGTTCGATCTGGGGTATTGATCCCAAGCATTGTTCATCGAGGAATGCATCTCCGCCATCTAACATCTACGCACGATATGGCAGCGATGTGGTGCTTCGATTTCACCTGCGTCAGCCGGACGAGGCAGCCGCATTGTCATCCGCATCGCAAGTGCTATTCTTGGATATCTGGGCCATCACCTCGGAATTCGTGGATATCAGACTGGCAGAGGACATGGTGAGCTTTACTCCGATTGCTTAATGAATCTCAAATTAATCGCTTTTTAGATACCCTCATTGCTCGACCTTCTCCCTGTCACTCTCCGCACCTCCTACACCCCCCTCATGGATAATCTCGCCGACAAGATATACGCAACATATCCTGATAATCTCCGTAATAATTTGGACCTCGGGCCAGGAACTATATCACCAGGGCGCAAGACAACGACAATCGGCGACCTCTTCTTCCAAGAATACCAGCCGCTGTCCGTTATTACGCAATGGATGCGCTTGATGGCATCGATGTTCTCCTCGCATGTGCGTATGACTAGCATAGGTCTTTCCTACGAGGGCCGCGACATCCCAGCCCTGCGACTTGGGATGTCCGAAACAGATAACAAATCCGGGCCCCGTAAGACGATCGTCGTCATGGGTGGCTCCCACGCCAGAGAATGGATCAGCACATCCACAGTGACATACGTGGCCTACAGTCTCATCACATATTACGGGTACTCCCCTGCCGTAACACGCTTGTTGCACGAGTACGACTGGGTCCTAATTCCTACCCTCAATCCAGACGGATACGTCTACTCATGGGAATCAGATCGTCTGTGGCGTAAGAACCGCCAGCCGACGGGTCTCCCACTGTGTCCCGGCGTCGACCTGGACCGCGCCTGGGACTTTGAGTGGGATGGCGAGTCAACTCACTCGAACCCCTGCTCCGAGAATTACGCCGGCGCAGAGCCATTTGAAGCACGGGAATCGCAGCGCCTGGCGCAGTGGGCCCAGAATGAGACAGCTCATGGCCGGGTTGACATCGTCGGCTTCATTGACCTGCACTCTTACTCTCAGCAGATCCTCTACCCATACTCATACAGCTGCTCAGCCATACCCCCAACCCTCGAGACTCTCGAGGAACTCGCCTTGGGTCTCGCCAAAACCATCCGCCAGACCTCGCACGAGTCCTATGACGTTACCTCGGCATGCGAGGGGATCTTGACCAGTGGTGCAGCTACTGGAGTTACTTCCGGTGGTAGCGCTCTAGACTGGTTCTACCATAAATTGCATGCCACGTACTCTTATCAGATCAAACTTCGGGACCGGGGTAGCTATGGGTTCCTTTTGCCCTCGGAACATATCATTCCCACCGGAAAGGAGATCTTCAACTCCTTATTGACATTCGGAAAGTTCATGTGGGGTGAAGAAGCCTCGGATATTACCTTTGAAGACATGATGATGGGCGGTCAAGTGCCCCTGGCGGATAAGGTATGAATTGGATTGTCCCTGGAAGCGTTCCTTTTAATGACTGCATGTGGAATTACGAGCAATTCACTTTCCTTCTTCGATATCATCACTCCCTTCACTCCCTTCTTTTGAGACACCTTGTAAATGTTGACCGGTAATGCAAGATTGTATGGAATATATCTAATATGTTCTCTGCTTTTAATGCGATACGATATGAATGTAAATTACACTTATAGGCCGTAAAACTACTACCTAAGGCACTCGGAAACGGGCAAAGAAAAAGGAGAAAAAGAGAAGCCAAAGTAGGGCGAAAATAATGATAAAACGGTACGCTTAATTCGAGGCTTTGTGGAGAGACTGTAATACTTCGTTAGTTACCTTCATCATACATATGCATCACCGTAGACCTACAGAAAAGAGAAATTGGCATAAAGATTCATTATCATCAACTTGAGATCTTCATATTCTATGTGAGCATTACAAAGGTCCTGGAGATGTAACCTATGCGATGGCACTGAAAAGGACAGATTCGTAACGAAAACAACATCTCTACACGACATTAGAAAAGCCAAGAAACAAACTTCTGGTAGAACCATCCGGCATCAGCATGCTTCTCAGCCTGAGCCTCCTTCGCAGCAAGATAAGCCGCCTCCTCGCGATCAATCTCATCCTTTCCAGTGAAGAGATCGGCCGTCTCGGGAGAGACGCCCTTGCATCTGGTCACGATCTTGTATCCGAAAATGAGGATCAAGTAGAGCGGAATGCCAAGATAAGCAGTGATGAAGTTCTTGTAGTCGAAGTTACCGTATTTCTTAGGGTTGTGCACGAAGACGTCGTAGTTCTTGGTGAAGGCGATGAGAATGCAGAAGCCCAGCGCGAAGTATGAGCCTGCGGCACCGAAGGGCGCCTTGTATGCGAGGCTTTCCTCGGGGATGCCTTGTGCCTTGCGGGCTCGCACGAAGTAGATATGGGTGACCAGGATTGAGATCCAGGTTAGGAGACCGAAGATGGTGACCAGGTTGACAAAGTACTTGAAAACTGTCTTGGAGTCACTAGACACGTTCATGTAGGCGAGAAGGGCGATAAAGGAGGAGATTGCCAGGGCGGGGACGGGCACGCCGCGGCGGTCGGTGCGGGCGAAGATCTTGGGTGCTTTGTCCTCGCGGGCAAGACCGTAGATGGTACGAGTGGCAATGTAGAGATCGGAGTTGGCTGCTGAGAAGACGAACAGCAGGATACAGGCGTTCAGGATGTGGTCCAAAATTGGGACCTTGGCCAGCTTGATGGCGACGACGAAGGGCGAGGCTGCTGCTTGACCGCTGACCTTGCCGGATGTTGCAAAGGCAAGGAGTTCCGAGTTGTAGGGGACGAGAGTACCGACGAGAAGCACACTCACGACGTAGAAGACCAGAATTCGGTAGAAGGTCAACTTGATAGCGCGAGGGATAGTCTTGCGAGGATTCTGTGCCTCGCCAACAGTCACTCCGACCAACTCTGTTCCGAGGTAGGCAAATGTTGCTGAGACCATAGTCGACCAGAAGGCCAGGAATTGACCTGTAGGTCCTTCCATGATGTAGTGGTTGAAGGCACCCGGGTTCTTCCAGTAGCGGAAACCAGTTCGGTCGTGAGTCGGTCCACCACCCAGCATGAGGATGAACGACATGAGAATAATTCCGAGAATGACGATAACCTTGAACGAGGAAAGCCAGAACTCGAATTCTCCGAAGAATTTCACACCGAAGTAATTGATGGCCACGACCAGAATGAGGAAAATGGTAATCCATACTCCAGGGTTGACTTTTTCTGACGGTATCCAGTATGATATGACCAACGCCCCAGCTGTCATTTGATTAGGCGAGAGGATAATGTATTTAAACCAGTATCTGCATATCGTTAGTAGATTTTCATCAGCGTTGAAGGAAACACATACGTCCAACCCAAGGTAAAGCCGAGCGCAGGATCCACGAATCGAATGGCGTAACCAGTAAAACCAGAGGGCAAGGGGAGCCATGCAGCCATTTCTCCCAGAGCACACATGACCAGATAGACAATGAAACCAACCCAGGCGTAAGCGATCAGAATTGAGCCAGGCTATAAGATGTTCACGTCAGCGGGGGCATTCACGAGTTAGTTGCTGCGGTTTAGACTTACGCCAGCCCTAGAAAGCGTCTTGTTAGTTTCACATCCAAGAAAATCTTTTCATAGAGCACGCGAACACTTACTTTGCGAGAGCTTCTCCTGTTCCGATAATCAATCCAGTACCAATGGCACCTCCGATAGCTGTTGCTGTCAGTATTTACTCTTCCCTTAGTCAAAATCGCACATACCAATCATAGTAATGTGTCTCGCCTTGAGCGCACGCTGCAGATCAACGTGGTTGGGGTCACCCAACCCCCCACGCTGAACCTCGACATCCTCGCCACTGATCTGTTTTGTGATGCCAGTTTCTGTGAAACCCTCAGACTTGAGGGGGTCCATATTGTCTGCGACGCCGATGGACTGGGACGTAATGCGGGATAGGATACAGTCGCTGGGAGAGGTGAAAGATCTCTTTTGAAAGAAAGTGAGATCACAGTGGCGAAGACTAAGATCAAGCAAACGACACGAATGCAAGCTGACCGGGGGGCTCAGTCCTTATGTACACGAAAGCCAAGAAACGCACCTGGGCACACAGATAAGAAACAGGACCAGAACCCTTTTCTACACCTGGGCAACACAATTAAATAAGATAAGAAAAAAGTAGCCAAGCCTTTCTATTTCCCATCTTATGGGGTACAATTTTACCGTTCCGTAAACACCGTGCGGAGTCGGCGATGCCGTGCAGGGTCGGAAACAGTGTAGCTTGGCGGTCTCTAGCTCATATTGTCTGTAAGGTTGCAATCGCCGAGGCACCCTGGGAGTTCGTGTCCGGGCGGCAGGGCAGACTAGGGCTGTGTCTCTGCCACTTGAATTGAAACCCAGCCTCTTTTGAGGCTCTAAATCTTTCATGCCGGACTAGACGCACAGGATAGACAGCTCGTTACTGTATAGAGAGCTCACTACTGTATAGAGTAAGGAGGGAATGATAGACATGTCTAATTTCCCTCTGTCAAAGCTTGTTGATAAGAGAAACACTGCATACAAGCGGAGACATTGGCGCCAAGCCCTGGGGCTTAGAGTCTGCGGGGTGAATAAGCGCTTTGAATCGGAAGGATCCATAACTTATCTACTGGTAGGTGCATCTCACTTGCCATTTTCTATGTGTGATCAAATGTAACCAGTCAACATTTTTCGAATGTCAGCACTAGGTTAGAAACACCAGACAAAATATCAATCTACTGCCTTCCCAACCGTGGTCCCACCAAGCCATGAGAAGGAAAAAAACGCACGCCACCATCCTTGACTCAGCCACCCGGTCACCCAGCTGATGACCTGCAGCCCAGTCCATACTTTTTTCCACCCAAAAGGGGGCCGTTCGAAGCGACTTCAAGTAGACCGAGGCCATCGCCAAGGCGGGATCAGGCTTGGCAGGTGCACGCTAGGCCTAACTGGAGTCTGGGCACCTGCGCCATGACTGACCTACGGTTGTTCCAGCCAATCACCATTGAGAAAATGGGTGAAAGTGCCCGCGTATATTTACTTATCTCTCTTGGCCTGTAGTCTGCGCGTGTTTGGTTCACTTCAATAAAAATTTGCGTTGACAGGCGGTGTTGCGAATTTTCTGGAAGGATTCTAAGAGTGGCGACTCCAAACGCCGAAGTGACCCCAAAGCTACTGCAAGGTATTGAGATGGACGCGGGGTATTACTAACAGAAACAGAAGAGCTGGGGAAGAACAATCCTGGGGTAAATAGGTCTTGTCTCAGTCAGGTAGTCAATTGATTCAACCTTTTAAGGATTGTCTGCTTCTAGTAGCTCGTGGGTTACTAGAAGCGAAATTTCGGAGTAACGTTACCTAATGTTGTACATACACCTAGAGGGTTCGATGTCACAGGTAGTCCGCTCCGTACGCAGGAACGTAGTAAGGACTGCGTGAACATATTATATAGCGGTCAATGTGATTGACTTCCCAAGTTCCCTCTCAATCTTTTGCAAGTAACGTGGCTTGGTCGACTCTGATCCACACGACAGCCGGCAAGTTCCTGTTTGGAGACGATTGTCTAACTACTGGATCTTCGATGCGAATGCCGGCTTCAATGCCCAATAAAACTGCCCTGGATTTCAAGACAAAGTTTTGGGGAAGAAAAATGCCTCAATCTTCCTTGGCGATCAAGTCGAAAGAGTGTGGAGGTAGGTATAACTGATGTCGAACACTACTGTGAGCCACAAATCTGTCAGCACATGACGGGGGATATTTCCAGGTACGATGATAGGTTGAAGATATTTCTATAGATGATGCTAATCCACTCGATAAGCCAAAACGATTCCATGAAAATCAGCTATATCAGAGAATTTAAACGTAAACAGTGGCAGAGAAACCCAAAAATGGATTTAGATAATGACAAAAAATAGAGACAGAAACAGAAACACCAATATGCCCCGTAGGGCCTGGGGATACAGCTTGAATGAAGAATAGGATCAAACTTAAGAAGAAAACAAACAAAAACTATAATATACGAAGGTGACGGCCTGTATAGGCAGAAGATGAGTGTTACCTTTGATCCCGGCCTAGTCTTAAGCGGTTCGTGGGAGGTGGTTCGATAACAAATGCGAGTCCGACAAAAACTAAAAGATCAAAAAATAGAAGTACATAGTAAAAAAATAGGACGAGAAATAACATCATAGCATTAAATTGCCATCTAAAGACCTTATATCTTACCGAGGCCCTTTCCGATACCCTTGACGGCCACTGGTAGTCCGCTAAGTCCGTCTACCTTTGGCTGGGCTTTTAGCTTCCACCCTTTTGTGATTGTCAACCCGTTGCATACCTTCCTTGTCGGAATTTAAGGGTACCACCTCTTTCCCGGTACATTTACCGATGATACGACGAGGCGGCTCTGTGATATAGCCTGCTGGCTTTGTGTGCTAGAAGACTGTTATTGTGTTTCTTCACTCTGCTTTGATGAGCCGGAGAACTGTTCTGGTATTTTCCCTTTTAATTTTTTTAGGAAAGAGGGCTGTCCTTTCTATTTGTTTGTTCGGACCTTGTTAGCTCTTTAAGGATGGAAAATTGTCCCTAGGCGCTATAGCTAATAAACTTGGTTAGCATAGGTACTTAATCGGATTATCTATAATATCTGAATGTACTTACCAAGGTTTTCTTAAAATTTTCACCGGGACCGCTTATCGTTTAAAGCCTCCTGCTTGTCTAAGAATTCTTGTGTGTGAGCGTACTGAGGATGATTGAGCATGCGCGTATGTCAAGTCTGCATTGTCCGTTATTGTGCTAATCAAAGATATATGTGTAGGTACAAGGCTCAATAGCGTGCACGTGGCGAACAACAATACCAGTGCGATTTGGCTGGCTGTAGAGAGAAGGAAGGAGATGATTCTCTATAGAGGAGCAGCAGATTAAATAGACTTTTGAACTTACACTATGGGCCCTTTTATACCCCTACCTTTATATAACCGAAATTATTAACCCAAGGCACTCGAAAATGGGCAAAAATAAGGTAAAAAAATAAATCCAAAGTAGGGCAACAACAGCATATAAAAGGGTAAACTAGCTTCGAGGCTTATAGAGACTGTCCAATAATTTGTGGCATTATATACACAACTTGACACATATTATACCATACCCGCGGGATGTATTCACCGTGCCTCTCAATAAAACAGGTCTGTCGATCCAAACTTCGGTTTCATCGTTATTTCTATAAGCTGTCTGAGATTTGAGATTCGATCTGAGGTAGTCATCATCAGTGTTGTGGCGGGAGTGGGCATTTTCTTCGCTAAAAAGACCACGGGGCCATATAGGGAATCAGGTACGCGAGCAGCTCTGCGGAATGATCACGAACCACCCACACAGCTAGCTCGCGCCTTGTACTGGTAATATTATACAGATGCACTCGACCGGCTAAAATTGCAACCGAGCCGCCGCACGAGCCACAGCTATCCCTCATCGAGTATCTTAGCAAACTGGTGTGCAAGTATCTGTAGCTGCTCGGTGTACCGCTCCGGTTATCATCAGAGTCGGTATGGAAAGTGGTGGGTGTTGCGCTGTGCTGGTGCTTCCTCCTGACATGGGATCGTCATGATTCGCATCCGTTGAGCTTCGAGAATTGGAAGAATCATTTTTCACACTCTTTCTCCTTCAACCTCTCAACATCTTTACTTATCATTGAAGATCCTTATTTGATACCGTGTCTCCCCCACCACAGAGACACTTGCTAAATATTCTTTCTTACCTTATTCTCATACATGTACTAAATTTTTCACTTATTATAGGATCATGGGACTCTTTAAGCATATGACGCTAGCCTTCGACCGAATTAATAATGTGTGGTATGTTTACGGTTCAAAAGGTTTCTGCCCATCTTTTCTCATTAGTTTAATTCGTGCCGAGCTGGCTCTACGTGAACTAACGCAGCGCGAGGAAACTTTACACCATAGAGCTATAGCCTTATAAAAGGCCACAGCTATTGAGTCTGATAGGACCTAGCTTAAAAATGTAAAGTAACAGTTTAAGGAGGCTTAAGCGCAATATCCCAGAAAAGAGTAAGCCCTTTACCCGGCCCAGTCTATGCTTATTCCGTCAGTGAAAGACGTCTACGATAGCTAAGACGTGATGCGAGATGGTTTATACGTGAAGAAATGGTTCAAGATTGTTCAGATCAAGGTAGATGCTATAGCCGGTAGTGGATGCTGCGTACAGAGGCATCTATTTAAAAGAAAGAAAGGCACAGGCTATTACACTATAGAGTGCTGGTGCTGTATCGCCTTTCAAGGTTTTGAGCTTCCAGAGGAAGAAAAAGAGGAGATCAGTAGCGACATCAAAAGCAGCTTTAAAAACCTAGATCGCCCTATCTGGGAAAACTAGCAATTTGGCTTTTCTTACCCATTGAAGTTCCGGTGGAAGCAAACTGCGAGATGGGTTCGACTGAGTAAGACTCATGAAACCTTATTCTCCCTTTGCTTGAGAAACATTTGATGAATTATCAGATTATTACGGGGCTTCATCAACGAGAAATAAATATCGACCTGCTCTTCTTTGCTTAAGAATCAGTTACTTTGACTACCTGCCCAGGTGTAATTGTTGACTCATGGATTGACTCACTTTTCATCTGTCGCTTCTTCCTTCATCCTTCTCCTCCGTTCTCCATCCTCCATCTTTCATCTTTCAACATCCAAATCTGCAAGCTCATCTTCATCTGGTCCTTCCTCTAGCCAAATCACAATGTATTCTCAGCAAGCACAAATGGGCTAGCCTGTCAAACGTTTTCGAAAATCTCCAAACCGCACTATCCTCCTCTTCTTCACAAACCAGTACACAATCAACCACCAACAACCTTACCAAACCCCTGCGTCAATATATGCAATCAACACTACATATTGGTGGAGGAACCGTCTCGCCTCCCAGTCTGCATGGCGTTCAAGCTCTATTCACGGTAGCAATGGATGATGCATATGACTACGAAATCGGCGCAAACGATTTCGATCCCGTATTATCGGTTCTCACAGCTGTTCGCTGTGCTCCCATTGATTGAAGGAAATAGAATCCAACTCGCAACATACTCAATAAGTAACCAGTCGACAGGTCTTAATCTTAGCAAAATGAGTTCTATGCTCGACTATCATGTCGCAAAGTGCCATACTCGTCACGAGATTTGTGTGAACTCTAACAGATTGCATGTCTCACGGTCGTCACCTTGAGACTCCCTTCCGCCGATATACGGAAACGCAGACCCTAGAGCATAGCTGTGATAATGCTAGATACTGGACCAATTGCCAAAGAGCTGGAGTGAAAATAAAAGTGCGAGTGCAAATTATCCGGTCCACTAATCTCAAAATTGCCAGTATCGGACCATGGAATTCCGTGGAGCCTTCGTAGCCTAATAGAGCAAATTAAGTTCAATTAAGATGACGGCCAGGCGAACATGGATGTTGATAGATGACGTGGAAGACAATGGCCCCCAACCACGGTGAATTCGCAGTCCAATAAGACATCAACGGGGATCACAGCGGGGACCACACCAAAGAGAACAAGAGTCTCATGAGGGATTTAGCAGGGATTACGATCAAGGAAAACCTCTGAGGTAATAAGGTAGGCAAGCAGGCGAATACCTGATTTGCGCACGGGGAAAAAGCCCTGAATGCAGCTCGTGAACCACAGCGCTTGGATGCAACACCAGCGACGTGGCACCGGTAGAGTGAGAGGGGATAAACGCGGCTAGAAGCATTATTTACGCGACCGGTGTTATACTGGCCAAGAAGTATAGGCATGAAGGGTCAAAGGGTCTGCTCGGACGCTTTACCTTGCAATGAGTGTGCCATCGTATTCAGCCTCATGAGTACTGTACATGCACATGCACACCCTCGGTGGTACTGGGTAAAGGGGTGGCTGTGGGTGAAATCATAGCGGTGGGCCTGTGTTGGTGCAGTTAGGCTGACTGAATATCCATGAGTGGGTGCCACCAACAGTGGGAAATCGTGGTGAGTGGAGGGTCAGTAGGGGTACTGGTCATTTTTCATGCCAACAGAAAGGTATGTGCAATATGTGCAGTGGATGAGCAGCTTGAGCCAGTGAATAGTTCATAGGATCCGCTGGTAGCTAGGGCTAGTGCCTTCTATGCAAGGTCCTGGATAGATACGTCCGGCGCTAGACAACTGGGAGACATTCTCAGCCTGTCAATAAGAGTCAAGGTACCAGTACCCTGGATGATGGAATCATGTCCTTGAAGTGAGTGGGGGCCATCCTAATGGACCAATACCCGTGCTGTGATGTTGGAGTTGGATGTGCCGTGGCATGCATTGGCGCATTAGGGCAGCGATCCATCACGAGATCTCATTAGCTGGCGAGCGCCGCAGCGGTTACAGGTATTAATATCGCGCTGATCGCTGTGAGATGATTGGCAAGTTGCCTGTGGATTTTGCTAACATTAGCAACACTCAAAATGTGCTAATTTGTCTTTCCTATGTTAAGAGGGAAGCGATGCGGGGGAGTCGCGTTGTTGACGACTCCTGAGTTGGCCCTATATCACGGCCTGAGGACCTGCAATCGGTCTTCAAAATTCGAGTTTTCCACAAGGGGTCCCTTCTCTGGACTACCTATCACTAGATCATACTCAACATTCATCATGGGTGTCATTCGTCTGCCTCGCCCAACGGGCATCTATGTCCCCAATTCCCCCAGAACCCTGACCAACGATATGATCTCTCCGCCCCTTTCCCCGGAATTCAGCTTCGACTCTGAGACTATCATTCCCTCTATTCTCCCCGCCATGGAATATGTGTCCTGCAAACTCCAACAACGAATGATGCATGTTACACTTCTCGTGGGCCGCGGCAAGCCCTATCCGACCGGCCAACCCTCCGACCTAATGGTGATCCCCGTCACACAACTCGAGCCCCAATCATCGCGACTTCTCGAACGATCCTTGGCCAAGGCGTCAAGAAAATTCTCCCTGGGTACTAGCTGGATCGATGCCCTCGGCCGCAGCCAGTACGAACGTCAGGCAAACGAGTGTCTGGTTAAGCAATCCATCCTCCAGAACGAGGTTGTCTTCAGCCAGGAGGGCCTGACCCTCCTCAATATGGACCGGATTTATACTTTCAAGCGGCGCATGTGCATCCTCTCACACCGACCATTCTCCCGTTCGGACGACCAATCCATGACTTCCTGCATCCAGCTACTTCACCGCATCGTCGGTGACTACCAAGGCCGACCATTCAGCAAGGCTTTCTTCCATCGTGTCTATGAGCAACTCGATATTCCTGATGAGCAGCTCACAGCTGTTGCAACTGCTTACAAGAGCATGTACAAGAAAGATGCCATAATCATTCCACCAGTTCCTGAGCCTGAGCGTCTTCCTGAGCGCCTTCCCGTGCGTACCAAAGTTGAAGAAGTCCATTTTGTCAATGTTGAGCAGCATCCTAAGATGAAGGTCGAGCAGCCTCCTAAGGTGAGGGTCGAGCAGTCTTCTAAGATCAAGGCCGTAAAGACCGACCGTGCTCTTGAGCATGTGAAGAGTCCTCGCGAGTACGTCAAGAAGTCGCCTGTTGTTCACACTGTTCGTGGTCGGAGACAGCCTCCGCCTTCGAAGATGAGATACCAAACGAGACGTGGGCCCAAAACCCCATTGTCGGCTTCCGATGTTACTCCCATTACGAGGAACGAGTGGAACATTCTTAGCAAGGATGTGCGACAGCAGCCCAAAGTGACGAAGTGGATTCCGTCTCCGACTGTGTTCGCTGTCGCCTGAACTTGATCTTCTTTTGGCCCATGTACAAACATTTCTCTTCTGCTGTCAGATCTTTGACACAACCACATCTGGTCGCTCACCGACCACTGACCAGCTTGGCTGAGGCTTGGTGAGCTAGCCTGGGAACCCCGAGGAGGGTTGAATCTAGCCTATGTTGCTAGATCACCTCTATGCTCCCTTTCCGTCTCGTTTCATTCGCGCTGCACCCTTATAAGCCACTTGATAAAGAGCAGATGTGCCGGTGATCGCACCAGGCACTGAAAGGGCCTTGGTGAACTGGCCGAAAGACCTCTCTCGGGTATCATGAAAGATACCCAACATAACGACGATATGATAACGAAAGTCTTCAAAATTATAATGACGGACCCGTCGTCGGAGAATTTCCAAAGTGCCAAAATTCTATTCGCTGTCTATAGTTCAAAATCAATACATTTTAATCACTTCAATCAATCAGACCTTCAAAACCCATGTAAATGCACACATCCAGTTGAGATTCAGTCCGGATAAACTCAAAAGGATCAGATACCCACAGCCCTATACAAAATTCTAATATCAACCGAGACGAACGGAACTTCCAAGGTTGTTTGCCGAGCGGCCATCTACAGACCCGCTCAAACGCGGCCGGCAAACAATAGCCCAATCACAAGCACGGCCTAGCAATAGAGTGGGTGTCAACTATCGGCATCGGAGACAAGATATTAGCACACTGGAATCCAGCCTATGATTAATGAGCAGTCAACTATCAGTCGGGGCTCTCCGCTCCTCCGCTGCCCCGCCATATCACGTGCTCGGGGGGTTTTCGACAACGTTGGATTGGATGAGTTTGTGTACTTCTAGTGAAGTCCTGTTTTTTGTTTAGTCAGGTTAGATCGACGTCTTCGGAGGTTCCCTATTGTCCGAGGTGCTTGTCCGCGGAGTCTTGTTCGGGCCTGTCCACTCTCACACCATATTTTGTTGAAGCCTCTAGCAAGTAGACCGGCTCACTTGGCAACGACCAATCGGCCTTGGCGGGGAAAAGACGGCCGATAGAGAAAGTTTTGTCCATCCTGCAGGCCAAAGGCAAGGATATATCTGCCCCTCTTCTGCAGGTCTCTTGCGGTATGCTTCGCGAGGTTTAATATATCGACGGCGAGAGTTCAGTCCAGCAAACACCCAGCAATATTTTCAGTCTCTACTAGAAACGTCAAATCAACTATGTCTTCTTTCGAAGAGCCCGCAGACTCGCGGAGTCTAGACAGCGACCGCAAATGGAGTCTGCAGCCACTCATTCGCCATGCGGAGCGCTCGCATAGCAAAATGCCCGGCATTAGAAAGATCCCCCTTCGAGCAATTGGAATCATCGCGTTCATCGCACTTTTGAACATTATTGTCTGGGCTGCGGCGGCGATTGTGTTGAGCTACCATCCTTCGCTTGTTTCCACCGCTGCATTGGCCTATTCTCTCGGATTGAGACATGCATTCGACGCAGATCATATCTCCGCCATCGATCTTATGACAAGACGACTGTTGGCAACGGGACAAAAGCCCGTTACCGTGGGCACATTTTTCTCACTTGGACATTCGACGATTGTGATCATTACATCTATCGTTGTCGCTGCGACGGCTGCTGCTGTCTCCTCGCGGTTTGACAGCTTCAGTACTATCGGTGGCATCATTGGCAGTTCTGTCAGCGCTGCGTTCTTGATTCTGCTTGGTATCATGAATGCGTACATCTTGTTCAAGTTGATCAAGCAAATGCAGAAGGTTTTCCGTCTACCGGAAGGTCAAGAAGATGAGGCTTGGAAGATTGAGGGTGGTGGAATTCTGTTCTCGATTTTGAAGAAGATGTTCAAATTGATTGACAGGTATGTTTCTAAGCATCTTACATCTCATCTTAAATGCTGATCACTTCTTAGACCATGGAAGATGTACCCCCTTGGAATCCTATTCGGTCTCGGTTTCGATACCTCGTCTGAGATTGCACTGCTTGGGATTTCATCCATTGAAGCGGCAAAGGGAACCTCCTTCTGGGTGATTCTTATTCTCCCTGCCCTTTTTACTGGTTTGTCAAGCCCTGCTCCACTATCGTGATATTGATGCTAATCGTATCTCTAGCTGGAATGTGTCTCCTGGATACAATCGACGGGGCTCTCATGTTCTCGCTCTATATCCAACCCGCGGCGAACTTCCTCCCAGCAAAGCCATCGACCACTTCAGATGCGTCATCAGCAACTAGCGATGGCGATGAGCTTCCTCAATCGCACAATAACCACCGCGACCCAGTTGCCTTCCTCTACTACTCAATTGTGCTCACTACGCTAACTGTCATTGTCGCAATTGTTATTGGTGTAATCCAACTGCTCACCCTGATCTTGAATGTGACTGATGCAACGGGCAAGTTCTGGGACGGAGTCCAGGTCGCTGGTGACTACTATGACGCTATTGGTGGCGGAATTTGTGGCTGCTTCCTTATATTTGGTGGTTTGAGTGTTCTCGTCTATAAGCCCTGGCGCAGGTGGATGGATCAGCGCCATGGAAAGAATGCTGTTGATGATGAGGAGAGGTATGGGGATGAGGATCCTAATTTTCATGCTGGTAGCGAGGGTGCTATTGTTACTGAGACGGCCGGTTATGTTCCGGGCGAAAGAACCGAGGCTATTGGGAAGGGCGCTTCAGCTCAGATTGCTGTGAGAGAGACTGGTGAGCCGAGACTTGAGTCGCATGTTGTTTGATGTGTCTTAGCTCTCGTAAGGTGCTTTACTTGCTAGTTATAGAACGGTCCTACAGTCCTCCGCAGGCGTGATCTTCAGGTACACTGGGGTTTGTGGAGGGCGATCCGATAGTTGAATGATATGGATACAGTTTCCTTTCAATCTTATTCTTATATCTTTCCATATTGCTGTTTGAGCGCCTTCGATTTCATACGAACATGTGGTGCCTCAGGCAACAAGCATGTGACGTCAACCCAATCTTCGGGCGATCAACTTTATCTCAGAGCTTGATCCCTTCACATCTTCAGTCTTCAGATGGAGGCTAGAACCGTGATGAAATGAGATTTGATGGTCTGCTATCGACATTCTCTGCTTAATGTGCTCGGATGCGTGAAATGTCCGCTCTGGAGTCAAGGACCATCTCGGTGATAACAACACATCCTGGACCCAACAATTACCCGCATATATGATGATTTTAACGATCATATAAAAGCATATTTGAAAACCTCATCATGACCCAGAATCCAAACTCTTCCTCGGACGCCAAGACGAGTCATGGATCTATATTCTCATCTCTGCCTTTGGTGTTCATTCTCTCAACGCACTTGTCTCTGGAGGCGTTAGATGAGGCCGAAGAACGATTGACGGAACATGGCGGTAAGCTCACGTATGAGATCTCTGAAGCCAAAATCATTCTTGGAAAAGTTGGCCGCCCGAAACGTGCCGCGCTCGAATTGCGCTCTCGCGGGGTCTGGACTGAGGAGGTTACTCCAGTTTTCACGAGTGCCGATCCAGAGCCTCCTACAAAGCGTAGGAGAACAGAAGAGCCCCATGAAGGCAACGACCCCCCAGTCGAAATTATCGATTTAAGTACCGAGTCCGAGAGTGAAGAAGATGGAGCTCGAAGTCGTCATGACCCGACACCCCACCTGGTGGAAAAGGCAGTACTTCATGAGAATACAGTCACTGTTTTGAAGCTAGAATGGCTGGATGCATCAATCCAGGCGGGGGTATGTATACCACAAGAGACTTTTATGGTATACCGAGGACTGAAGATACCTACTCCAACTACAACGGGAACGAAGAAATATTTGGAAGAAAAGTCAAGCCAAATTATTGAACGTGCCAAAATGGATGCCGGGTTCCCACCTCCGTCTATCCAAACACCTGATCACCGTCATGCGAGACGCTCCAAGGAACCATCGGAGCGCCAACGGCCAAAGCTTTATAGACAGACAACCTCCGAGCACGACGAGAAGGAACCCCCACCACCCAAACCAGACTGGGTCCGAGACCAGGTTCTCTTTGCATGTCTGCGGTCCGCTCCCTTGCACCCACCGAATGAAGAGTTCATCTCCCAGCTGGTCAAAATCCGCCGTATCCGAGAACTCACACTTGACGAGATTGGTGTTCGGGCCTATAGCACTTCTATCGCGTCCCTAGCGGCATACCCGTATGTGATACGTCGACCAAGTGAGATCCTTGACTTGCCCGGGTGCGACGTGAAGATCGCAAATCTTTTCACCCAGTGGCAGCAGCATGGTGGCTGCGAGCATACCGATGGCGACGGGAATGTTGCAGCGGCCGATGCCTTGGACTCAGACCCTGTGCTGCGAGTTCTGAACTCATTCTATCAAATTTGGGGAGTAGGTGCGAAGACAGCACGAGAGTTCTATTACTACCGAGGCTGGCGCGACCTCGATGATATCGTTGAGCATGGATGGAGCATACTTTCTCGTGTGCAGCAAATTGGGGTCAAGTTCTACGACGAGTTCCAGGAAGGCGTTTCACGCGCTGAGTCCGAGTGTATCGCTGATATTGTTCGAGAGCATGCCAATCGTGTTCGGCCAGAAGGGGATGGCATGGTTGAATGCATTATCGTTGGCGGATACCGGCGTGGAAAGGAAATCAGTGGCGATGTGGATATTATATTGACTCATCGCGATGATACTGTAACAAAGAATCTCATTGTGGATGTTGTTGCAAGTCTTGAGCAAGATCAATACATCACGCATACTCTCGCCTTGCATGTCACTTCCTCACATCGGGAGCAGCAGACTTTACCCTTCCACGGCGAAGACTCGAGGAGCTTTGATACACTGGACAAAGCACTTGTTGTTTGGCAGAATCCTCATTTCAGCCCAGAACTAGCAGGTGCTGCGGAGGGTCAACGCAAAAGAAACCCGAATCCTCACCGTCGTGTTGATATCATTATATCGCCATGGCGCACAGTCGGCTGTGCGGTGCTAGGCTGGTCTGGTGATACGACCTTCCAGCGAGATCTGCGACGGCATGCGAAGAAGGCACACTCCTGGAAATTCGATTCGAGTGGTATACGAGCTCGGAATTCGAGTGGCCAGGTGGTGGATCTCGAGCATGGAGGAGAGACCTGGGAACAGCGAGAGAGGCTTGTTATGGAGCGCATGGGTATAGGTTGGAGAGCACCACAAGAACGATGTTCGAGGTAGAAAAGCCGCAGCAACTGAGTGTCACCATATATGACTCACCGCTATTTGCCTTTCGGTCTCCGTCTTTCGCTTCCATTTCCCATCGATTCACAATGTTTTTGATGAAGATAGTCCATTTGTCTTCGGGGCCAACGGTTCAATTAATGCGCCAGAGACATTGCGACATCGAATCAATAGCATTGGTGATATAGCCCCTTCGCATCCGAACGATGGCAAGATCGTGCAAGTCAAGCAGCGCTTCCAGTTGGTCTCTTCCGAGGACTTTTTGTCGGATTTCTCGATATTTCAATGTACGGACTCGCGCTTCATCGGCTTCTTCGAGTCGCCCTTGGTCGGTACACAGTGAAGTGATATTAGCCCATGTACCCAGGGTATTCCAGTTTTCTTCTCCAAAACTGGCTGTCTTGGCGTTCAGCACCGTCGTGTATAGCTTTTCGGCCTCGTCAAACCTGCTTTGAACTTCATACATCCCAGCAAGACAAGACTCTCCGGGCATCTCAGTGTCTCAGGATTTGTCTCCCCAAGCACCTTTTTCGAGATTTCTCCCGCCTCCACTAAAAGTGTTTCGGCTTCTGTATATCTCTTTTGCTCGCGGTATATAAGGGCAAGCATGGCCATGCTATGTACATACCGGGGATGTTCCCATCCAAACATTCTTTGGTGGGCATTCGCTATTTGGATCTGTAGCGCCTCTGCCTCCTGCAATCTTTCCTGGCAGTGATATGTCCACGCCAATCAAACCATGCATTCCAGGCTACCACGATGTTCTTCTCCCAACAAGCCTGTTAACCCGCGGAGCTCTCGAAGCTGCAGCTCCTCTGCTTCCTTCCATTTTCCTGCAGCGTACACATACCCCAACTCATGCATGCTCCGTAGAATGTTCTAGTTGTCCTTTCCACCGGTTCGCATGAACCCTTCCAGTGCTTGGAGCTGTATGGATTCGGCGCCTGTGTGTCGCATCATATCAATCCCTGAGTTACATAGGGACATCAGTGTTGCAAAATGATCAGGCCCAAGCCTCGCTTGTAACTTCCACCCCCGTCACAGAGAAGGCATGGGCATCTGCCCAGTTTCCTCGCGAAAATGCATATTTCGCTGCACTGGACACAAGTGTTGCCCATCTTTCTAGCGCATCTTCTCTTTCTGGTGGGTGTTCCATGGCGGCGTTAGAATGTAGAAACAGCAGTCAACATTGGTCGCAGTTATCGGCATGGTCAAGGTCGAGATTCCAAGCCCCCAGATTCGCAATAAAAAGTTCATTCCGACACTCAAGTTGGTCATGAATCTCGCGCCAGCGCTGTGTTGCTAACTGGACTAGTCGATGCATCTCGAATGTTAAGTCGTCTGAGATGACCGAGACAAATGAGTGGTCTCGGAGGACTTGAATATCGTCGTCTAGTGTGAGCTCCGCTTCCTCGGTCCTGTTCGCTTCCTCGGTGCTGCGTTTTAAGAACAGTCGAGGTGATTCGCGGTAAGTTACATCTAATCTTCGCTTGCATGTACCCTATCAACAAACGGTGGACAACGTAAGGAGAAAGTCTCGAGACTAGTGCGAGTATATAAACGTTCAGGGAAGTTTCTATCACTACCATTTGTACCCAAAACTGCAATCCCTCCTGTTTGTCTAAGAAACTCAACACTTACGGCATATCAAGAGAGAAGAGGGTCCGAGAAAGAAATCTGTAAATTGTGAAACTAGTGTCGGTTCATTCTGCAGCCTCATAGGAGATCTCCTCAACATAAGCTTATGATAACTTTATCCCTATACACTTGGACAACAGATTATGGGGCTGGTGGCATGCCAGTAAATTGCCCAGCCCCTTCAGCAGGACTGACCCAACTGACACGTCCATCAGTGTATATCTCCGCCTTAGGCGGTAGCGCGTTCAGAATCCCGGTATCATCCAGTATTCCTGCTCGAAGGACTGTTTTCTCGTCAGGAGTACCATCAGACTTCATTGTCAGCCCATAGAGCGGCGTTCCTACGAGCATCGTCAGTCAATCCTACCAACCTCGTTTTATAGTACACACCACAATCTGAACAGAAATAGTTCTTGATATGATTTCCACTGTCTGCCGTTTTTGGCACTTCTTTAGGACTTCCAGCTGTGATTTTCAGGTCGACACTTTTGATGATGAAATTATACGTGTAGAGACCGCCGGTAAGTTTGCGACAATCGAAACAGTGGCAAAGCGCCTATTGAAAGAAAGTATAATATTAAGTCAATGAAAACAATCCGTCGGACATAGACTAACCGAAACTAAAGGCTGGCCACTATATTGGATCCGAACCTTTCCGCAAAAACAGCCGCCAACAGCCATTTCCAATGTGTAGGTGCCTTTTTCAATATTACAAAAGGGAAACAGAAAGTGAAAGAGGTTTATAAAGTGACATCATACGGCGACTCAGCTGCAGTCGGTCCGGACGAACCTTTGCCCGGAAGACAACGCTTACAGAATGAGGTGAAAGAGTTTGTTGGCCCCAACATAAGAGTGTTGGGTATGGACATTTATGATTTTGGCTTGGGGGCCATGATTGCTTCTTACTTGTATCAAGTGTTGTTGAGCGTCCAGTGCTGCACTTGACTCTAGCCACGTCTAGTAATGATGCAGAAGCGTGGATGCCAAGGTATGGAGAGATCTTAAGATAGCAGTGTACATGTATTGCATTTCCTATGCTTTCTCACTCGTGCTACCTCAGAGGGTAAGGGTCCTATCAGATTCTTTTGCGGAAACCCATTGGATAGAGGAACCATGTAAGGATACCTGTCTACATATCCACCCGATTTGATACGAAACCTATGTAAGACATTTGTTGATTCGTAGTACAAATAGCGGAGCAGGGACCCGTAATAGGTCAACCTTCATTGCTGATCAGTTCAGCATGATTCGATGACCAGCTTTAGATAACCCACGAAGGATAGTCACTGAGGTATGATTTGTGGTAATTCTCGCATCTTTCATGAAGCACTCAACATTATCATTCCGAGAAGATCATCTACTTCGCTATCCAGTCTATTTTCCATCATGAACCTCTTGATCGCACTTGGCCTTCTTGCTGCTATGGCGCACGCTGTGGCACTTCCTGCTTGAGATGACTTTGCTCAGCGTTCTCGAGAGTTCCGAAGATTTTGTGTTCTGGGCCGATTCGAATCGTGGGTAGCGGTGCAAACTACCAGGCTTAGTTTCAATCTTTGAGGTAAGGGCTTCAAATATAACTTACAGAATATACTATTCGCTGGAATGTCTCGAATTGACTTTTCAGTGCTGCTGCTGCTGCTGCACAGCGAGCAGTGAGATAATTTGCTGCTTCTCACTTTGGAATGCGTCTGGCTTGTCGAGGGCCGCTTGGAGTTGGCTGAGCAGGGTTTGGGGTTTGGTTGCACCATTTTGTCGACATTGTGATATATCGCTTCACTTCGACTGGGATCAATGTAAAGAAACCAACGCGGTATATGACATGGCATCGGGGTATAGAAACTCTGAAGTAACGCGGAGGAGAGGGCCAAGAAGGGAAGACATCTAAAGACATTTCCATCAACTACCTATCTATGGGCCAGACAGTCGACACATAAAGCCATCGTAACACAATATCCCTTTGCCGTATATACTCGATATCTACACGGGCAAGGAAAATAGGCATTGATCATGTCCAATTCAGACCTTACCTAGAGACACATCAAGTAAAGAAAGATAAAATATGTCACAGCCTCCACACCAATAACATAGCTATAAGAACAAATCCAGAGGGAAGAGAAGAAAGGGAAAAGAGGAGAACGTAAAAGGGTACACATAGATACAGATTTACCAATCACTTGGCAATGATGCAGAAGAAAAAGACGCGGTAGAAATCAAGTAGAAGATGACCGCCACTGCGAATGCAAAATGCACAAATCATGGCGAATCAATCATCACGCCATAGGCCTGGAACTGGCCATCTCACCATACCGACCACGACTGCGAGTTGTGTCATATGCGTTGACAACACGCATTTGACCGCCATCGTCGGCCTGGGAGAAGGCGTAGCCGCGCTGTTTGCGCATGCGCTGAACTTGGCGGACCTTCCGAATGGCTTTTTGGAATTGCTCCATACGCGGGCGGTAGTCCTGGACATTGTATTTCTGGATCTCCTGGACGTGGTGGTATTGCTGTGGGTAGTACATGCGCTTGGCGTACTTCCATGCATAATCACGCATGAGACAGATGGCGGGGAGGACGACGGCCATCAGGTAGAATATGGGGGACTTGAAAAGGACTGGGATTGTGCCGTAGTATTCGCGTGAGAATCCAATGGCGGGGGCGGCGTAACCGTAGGCCGGGAGGAAGATAAGCCAGAGGAGCATTGATCCAGGGATGGCGATGAAGGTGTATTTGGTCCACACGTTTGTGATCAGAGCTGCCTTTCCGAGAACGGTAGCAAGCACGGCAGTGTACAGTGCCTCGCCCCAGACCCAGTGGCCGGCAACCTTGCCGTCAGCCATTGGGAGGTCCCAGAAGAAGATCAGCTGGGAGACGATGTACAGGATGAGAGAATGGAAGAATCCGTTCAGAATCCAGGCCCAGAAGCTGTGTTTGCGGAAGAATTGTCCTTCTTGTCCCAAACGGTACAATTGAGGATAGCGGTCCAGTAAGCGAGCAGAGATGTACTGGTCGAAGATTCCCATGGCGAACGGAGGCAAGACAGTGAACAGCACGTTGTAGAAGGAGAGTGTCCAGGACTCGTAGATAACCTCACCGGAGAAGGCGTTTTGGAAGGAATACTGTTTTGAGTTAGATACTGCCATCACCTATTATCGAGGATAAACTTACCCAGAATTGAGTCATGTACAGTGTAATGTTCTTATAATACGAGTAAAGAATGACTCGACTGATTCGAGAATAACTCCAGGCGCCGTGAACCAAAAGCAGCTTTCGAAGGAATCGGAACTGGGCAATTGCCACATCAGCAGATCGTGCTGCTTGAAGACCTTCAACACCGCTGATACCAACGCCGACGTGAGCGGCCTGAATCATAGACACATCATTGGCACCGTCGCCAATAGCCAGGAGGAGAGACTTCAAGTGGCGTTTGACAAGCTTGACGACCAAAGCCTTTTGAAGGGGGGACACACGACTATATAGGTCAGAAAGATGGCTACTGGAAGGGGACTAAAAGGGGCTTACCAGCAAACAACAGCTTTGCAAATAACCGCGAGATCTAAGAACAGCTTCTCCATATCCTTCTCCAAAGCAAAGGTCAGAGACCGTCCATCGATAACCAAAGCCAACGGTTCAGAGTCACCAGAAGCAATTTGACTCTTGACAGCTTCCAGTTTCTTCTGTAAGTTGTCGCGGGTAGCTTCGGCCGTTTCCTCATTGATAATCAAAAGCGTCATGTCTTCTGAGATAAGCTTACAAGACATGCCAATGTTGATGGCAGTCTCTTGTCGGTCACCAGTCAAAACCCAGATCTTGATACCTGCAGTCTGGAGCGTGTGGATAGTATCTGGAACACCATCTTGCAAACGATCCTCGATAGCCGTAGCACCAAGAAGATAGAGATCCTTTTCAATCAACTCAGCGGCTTTGTCCAATTCATCCGCGCGATTACCACCGACAGTCGTGGCGGCCTTGTCGAAGATCTGGTACCATTGCTGGAACTCATCTTCAGGAATCTCCCGCATGGCCAGACAAAGAGTCCGCAAACCTTCCGAGGCATACTCCTCCAAATGTTGGAGGGTTGCTTCCACGGTAGGGTTGTCAGGGTGTAACCGCTCAAGAATGACTGTATCAGCACCCTTGGTGTAGATACGGACCTTTCCATCTGGACAACGGAAGATAGTCGACATTCGCTTTCGGGTAGAGTTGAACTCGCACACTGCTAGCAGTTCATATTCAAGCTCCTGTCCTCCGGCCTCGAAAATTACGGATCTGGGTCTTCTGTTGGTGAAACGATATCCGAGTGAGGCGGCTCCATCAACCAAAGCTCCCTCATCGGGCGAGGCTGCTTGGTACTTGATCACAGTTGGATCCTTGCTGTTGCGCTCGGGAATAACCGTGTGACAAGTGGCGAGAAGAGTGAGCAATTCACGAATGGCATTTTGGCTGGGATGCGATTGCATGTTCTCCTTGAGTTGCTTGAAATCGTGGATACCAACCTCGGTACCATCCTCCGCAGTAGCCCGGCGGTCTTCGGGGACGTCATCGCCATATTGAATACCGGCAATCGTGACCTGCTTAAACTCCATCATGTTGCAAGTAAGCGTACCTGTTTTGTCGGAGAAGATGTACTCAATTTGACCAAGTTCTTCGACAAGAGAGGATGTGCGGCAAGTAGCCGGTGTATCGGTTTTGTCGTAGTAAATATCAAGGTCGGAATTGATGAGGAAAGCCTGGAAGTATTTGACGATTTCAATGGTGACGAAGAGGGAGATTGGAACCAAGTTCGAGTACAGGACCCAGTAAGTAAAGATATCCATGAAGAATTGCTTCACTGGCTTAACCGACCCATAGTCGAGGTAGGCAAGCTTATCAGCCCTGGTTTGTCGAATAACAAGATCACCAACGGAACTGATAACACTCAGAGCAATGAGAATGCTCACGAGCATCAGAATCTGGATGTTGACAGTTCGCTCCACAGCAGTCCGTTTGATCGGGGTTGCAGTAGCGTTACGCATCAGCTTCGTCTCATGACCACTGAAAACAACGATTCCATGGATCCAAGGAGTGTTGCGTAGCGTTGCACCTCGAAGCAAGAGCTGATCAGGAGCCAGAGGCAGCTCTTTCTCGCCGCCTCCGGCGTTCATAGTCAGAGTAGCTTCGTAAGTATACAGACTGCTGTTCGGTTGTTCTGAGCGAACCCGTCCGCTCAACCGACTCAAGTCACTGGGACTGACCAGATGGGCAGTCTCAGGAATAGCCTGCTTGATTTTGAGATTGGTCTCACCATCAAGATTTGCTGTCTCGATGTAGCACAGACCCTCCGGCTCGGACGATGCCAGCAACACCAAGTCGGCTGGGAAAGGCTGCTCGGACTCAATGCGAACCACATCACCCACCACCACATCTACCCACTTTGTCTCGTGGAACGAAGAGCCCTTGAGGACTTGGGTTTTAGAATAGTTTAGACCTTTATCCGACATCCTCCGTTTATAGTCCTCCACCAATTCTTTGATGGCTGACACCGCCAAGACAATAGCAAGTGGAACAATCGTGGTATACTGATTTGTGGGCGACACATTGGGAATTTGTTGTAAAACGGCGGTAAACAAGAAGAACAGGTTGGCGTATTTGGAGAATTGTTCGAAGAGGAACTTGGGGACGAAAGTGAAGATGTTGTATTTGGCAGTCGAAACGTGGTTGCTGACGAACTTGTGGACGGAATTGGCGGGTGGGTTATTGAGCTGGATCATGCGCGGGCCCAGAGTCGAGGGGTCAGCTCTGCTCCGCTTGAAGATGTTGAGGTCCGACGCGCTGAACTTCTTTCGCGGCTTCGGGGGTGCGGGCTGGGTGGAAGCACTATCAACCGTCGCCCTTCTTGCGCCGGCCTCTGTTAAAGGGAGGTCCATCTCTGAGTACTGTGATGTCCCCATGCCAAACATGTACTTTGCCTTGCCCATCAAGCCGCCCCCGAGTCCGAGGATACTATTGCGCTCATTTGCTCTTCGAACATTATGCGACTGGGCAATACGGTCGTCATCGGCGTCGAGATCATAGTATCCGGAATGCGCATCGTCGAGGTCATCATCCAGGGAATACCGCTGGTAGTTGTCCAGTCCGGAGGTCTGGGAGTAGGTTCGGTCCCGGGATCCGCTGGAGTAGGGGTCATTCGAATGCAAGCCCGGGTTGACAGGCGGATGCGCCGGTCCAGCACCAACATTTTGAAGCGTTGGGCCCTGCGGCACGCGCGATCCGACAAAGTTATCGTAGGATACCGAAGGGCGCGCTTGCGAATAGGGTTCGTCGGAATCGTCAATGTTGTAGCGTTCTAGGAGGTGTTCGTCGTTCACAGGCGGGCCTTGGCCACTGTTGTATATGGGTCCGGAGTCCAACAGCAGGTCTTCATCGCGACCAGCGGCTGAATGCGACCCGGGAGGCCTACCGCTGGCCATGACGCCGCGGGGAAGCTGACACCTTCACTGAAGTTGCGTAGTGGTGATGCCCCTGAGGCATTGATCGGAAAGCGTAGTCGACAGAGAGCGATTTGCCAGATCTGTCGGCACAGGGTCAAATAAGGTAGCCAGAAACTGATTCCAGGGAAGTGAAAGGGGAGACGGGAATGAGGTGGCTTTGCGGGTGAAGGCAACAAATTAAGCTATGTTTGGCCCGTAAGGCGGTAAAGCGCTTCACAACAATCAAAGCGACTACGAGATATACGGCATATTTATTGGTTTGAGTTATTGTATAGCTTGGAGTAAGATGCGTTTCTTTGATCTTTGTATCAAGAACTGTCGTCAGATTACTTGGCTGTGTCCAGTCTGCAATTAATCTAAGAATAGGGGTCTTCTTGGCATGATATATTAAGCGCCAAGTGAGACGACACATGTAGATACAAATACACAGCCTGATAATACACAACCTCCATGCATGATCTTTGATATTTTGATATTCTACTGGAGAACCAAATGTAGAAGAATAAAATCAAAATTACAGTTCCCTCTACAGCGTAGATGCTATACACATGTCCCTTGACGATGGACATGATAACATGAGACGGAACTCTGTCGAAATGCGACGCGTACAAAGTGAGACAAGAATACTGTTCTACGAGAACATCGCATAAAGCATTATTACCGTCGTGTTATGGGAATTGATCAGCTTCCTGCATGGCTCGAAAACGGCATGTTACCATCCTGGGGCGTCTCCTTGAGTAGCCGCGCTATACCATTGAGACAACGGGGCGTGAGTTAGCATTAGCCTCGGAATTTTTGTTGATAAGGCGACATCGCTTGGTAGTAAGATAAGTGCATTGGTTTTCAACTAGACTCCGGTCCCATGAATCGTCAAAGTGGTATTACATGTTCATTCGGTTGCAATCAACCGGTCATTCTCAGCCCGCGACTCATCAGCCATGCCAACCTTCGCCCGCTTGGCCAGATCAGTCCGCAGAACCTTGTCGATAATGAGATTAAGCTCCTTGACCTTGTCCCAGGCCACACTCGTCTTGTTGACAACAACCATGGGGTTAATCGGAGCACCCTCGATCTTGGACATGTAGCAGAGCTCGCCGGCGCTGTTGATGCCAATGACGAGGTCTCCCTCAGATGCCTGCTCTTCCTTGAGGGTAGCATCAACAATGACATGCTTGCTGTCGTTGAAAGTGTTGAAGGTGATTGAGAGAGGCTTGTGGGTGATGTTGAGGGCGACAGGCACACGCTCCTCAACCGCGTAGACGATGACCCGGCCATCCTTGACCACAGCATCCGGCCGGCGGAAGTGTTGCAGTCCGGTCATGATGGCAATGCAGGCTGCATCGGTAAGGTTTCCATCGTAGTCGATTACATGCACATCAGCACGGATGCTCCAACAGCTCACACCTTTGATGATGCAGAGAGACTCAGTATCGAGAGCGTTGGAGTGACGAATGACGCGGTCAAGGGTGTTGGTGGCAGATGCCTCGAGATCATTGGAGCTGCAGAAGCGATTGTTAGCCGCAGCCACATAATATACCAACAAGAATAATCATACCGTCCATTCTCCCAGGCGGGAGAGCCCATGGAACTGAGCTCCATGTTGATGTTGAATAGACCATCAAAAGGACGTTCCTCACGAGGCTTGGTGACCTCAGCGGATATGCGAACAATAAGGCTAGAGATGCAATCAGTAATAGCAATCTGCAGAGGATCAATGGGTAGTGCGCACCTCGTCTTGCCAAGCTGCAGCTTCACATGTCCATATTCTTCACCAAACGAGATGTCCATGGGACGAAACTGATCAGGCTGACGGCCATCAAGCCGCACATCCTCACGAAGCGCCTCAAGAATGAAGTCACGCTCCGCAATCGAGAGTTGAGCTTCCTTTGACATCGTTGCAGTGGCCCCGGCGCGGGGAATAGCAAAGTTGGTTGCTTTTTTGGGCGGTTTTGCCGAAGGCGGTCGGATAGAACGCATCGGAAGAATTGTTAGTCCAACACCGGAACCAATGGGGAGACTTATCAAAAGGGCGGTAAGAAGGGAGATTGTGAGCCTTCAAGCCTGGACGACTGAGTTGAAGCTTAGACTTGCAACCATCACTTCTCCCCCAACCGTCAAAATGACTACTGGTATGTTATAAAATTGGAATTAAGCTTCGGTAAAGAGCTCTTTCTAACGTCTTCTAGCCCACAGACCAACATTTGATCCGGTACGACGGCTTCTTTAACATCTCTTCGCCATGGATACTGACTGATTGAACAGGCGCAAGGAAAAGAAGCCCTCCGCGGCCCAGCCTACCATCAGCGCCTCCTCCCAGCCCACACACACTTGAAGACCCGGTATGAAGAGCCGATTTTGTGGAGAGCGCAAGCCTTGACTAACTTCACTGCAGTCAACCCGGACAAGGTGGCGACGCGGACGCAGCTCCCCGCGACCTACGCGCAGAACTCCTCCAGGCTGAGGCTGCTCACTTTGCTAAGAAGAACGGCGTTCCCGTCGACACACCAGCTGTCACCGACTCAGCTCCCAAGCGACAGCTCGAGGCTGCACCCGAAGACGCCAGCGATCAAATACAAGAAGAGGACCCAGAAGCGAAGCGGAGACGTATATTGGAGGAGTCGCGTGATATAGACGCTGACTCGGACGGGTCAGGAGAAGACAGCAGTGACGAGGATAGGTGTGTTGGATTGGGATACTCTACTTTGCGTATATATACTGATCAAACTCAGTGACGACGAAGATGAGGCAGCCGAGCTAATGCGCGAGCTGGAGAAGATCAAGAAGGAGCGCCTGGAGCAAAAAGAGAAAGAGGTATGTTCATTGAAGTTACTTCATAATTCTGGCTAACACAAAAGCAGGAGCGTGAACGGGCCGCAGAGGAAGAGGAGCAGCGTGAGGTTGATATTGCCCGCGGTAACCCTCTACTCAATTCGCAAGACTTTAACATGAAGCGACGCTGGGACGACGATGTTGTGTTCAAGAACCAGGCTCGAGGAACGGAGAACCGAGATGGCAAGGAATTCGTCAATGTAGGGAGTTCTCTGGTCTTGCTCTGGTTTTTGACAGTCAAGCTAATTGTTCTTTTAGGACCTCCTTCGTTCCGATTTCCACAAGCGCTTCATGGTATGCATTGGACCTCCTGCCAACTTCCTTCTACATCTTCTAACGATATTATAGGGCAAGTACGTGCGTTAGATGACCTCGGGGGATTACTTAGAATACCACTTTAGCGAATGAATGCTACCTTTTAATGCCGCCCATTGCCATACAACCAGATATACTATAAATAGCCATACAAAGAAAGGACCGAATTGAACCAAACCAGACCCTAGTCGAGTCCCACCAATGAAACTATACGCGCGAACGATCTCCCTCCACACTACGGATGGCAGATACAGCGGTATGCCTCCATTTTTTGAAACTTAAGACATCAACAGTTGGCACCGCTTCTCTTTTTTTTTTTTTTTTTTAGATACTCTCTAAAAATGGCAAACTTTGGTTAGCTACCTAGTTAATCTCATTCGATTGGACATTTAGTTCACCCAAATAAATTGAACATTTGAATCTCGGCTGCCGATATACTTCCACCCTCACCGCCTTAAACCTTATCGACAAGACTAACCTGATATCATTCTCGACAGACTTCAAACCAACAAACCAGCAATGGAGTCCCAACCTACAGCCAAGGCGCTGCATAGTGAGTCTCACGTCTATTGAGTTCCACGCTTTTACAACCCGAAATCCCTCAGCGCTTTGCTCGTTACCTGCTAACACCAGATACCCGGCAGATCGCATCAACACCGATATCTCGCAACTACTGCAGCGATTCGAAAATATCATGGCCACAGCGACTGTGAGTTCGAGCGCATTACCTCTTATGACTCTATTATTACTCGGTAGCAATATACTGACAGTCCATACCAGGTCGACAATCCAAGCTACACCTCTACAGCAGTAGAAACATACCAGCTAGACGTGGAATCAACTGCACTGGTGAGTCAATGCAATACAACCAAAACGCCTCACTGTCCCTTCAAATCTACGCCCTGAAGAATTGACCACGTCTTGACATCGGCCCAATATGGATGAAGCTAATACCATTAGATCCGCGCCGCAGAAGATCTCCTCGGCCTAACCCGAACAATGAAAGAGACCTGGCTCTTTGGAAAACTGGATACACTGGGCGAAGACGAGCGCGACGTCGAGCGGAGGGAGAAGCTGGAGCAGGATGCGCAGGCTGTGCAGAAGGCTATTGAGGGTGGATTGTTGATGCCGTCTGTGGAGAAGTGATGGACTTGCATCTGTACAAATTTGCATGGGCTACTTGAAGCTCTCTGGCGTTTGAATCCTACTGGGTATCTTACTGGGTATGTCGTCTCTGGCGTTTCGTTGGTGTGGTGGTTTGTTATTGATACCGCTTGATCAATCTGTTTGTTTTTTCCTCGGTTGGAGTAGACAGTTCTGTTTGTACATGTTGTGTTCCAAGATCTAGGTATGGATTATATTACAATAACCAATTGCCCCTATATTCCTGGTCCTATATAACGATCCCCCAAAGCGCAAGTCTACATGCGGGGCGATAAGCCCGATAAACAATTTCTCCCCGAACGCGACTCGCACTCCCCACCACTTCACAACCTCCAACACGTGAAGACAACCTCCAATTCCCACAATTTCGGTCCTATCTCACACACCAATCAAAACCAAACAATCAATCCAAATATGCCACACCCGAATCCCCTAACCTTAATAGTGGCAACAACCCCAATCCCAATCCGTCACGCAACAGAAGAAACAACAACGCGCCTAGGAATCGGGCTCAAGGGAACCCTCCCATGGCCACGCATAAAAACAGACATGTCATTCTTCGCGCGTGTGACCTCACGCCCGCCCAGCCCGGGCAAAACAAACGCCATCATCATGGGTCGCAAGACATACGATTCCGTGCCTGCCTCATTGCGCCCGCTTGCTAAGCGGATTAGTGTTGTTGTTACGCGTGATACGAGTGGATCTGTTAAGGAGGGGGTTATGAGGGAATTAGTGGGGAGGAGGGAGAGGATTGCTGCTAAGGCTGCTGAGGCTGTGAAGAAGGATGGTGGGGAGAAGGCGGTTGAGCCGATGACGGATGTTATTGTCGTGCCTAGTCTGGAACAAGCGTTGGAGAGGCTCGATTCCGAGTATGGAGAGAAGGGGGTTCTGGGGAAGGTTTTTGTCATTGGGGGTGCGGAGATTTACAATGCTGCGATTGGATTGCAGGCAGGGTCTGCCTTGAAGGGGAGGCCTGTGAGGGTTGTTATGACGAATGTTGTGCGAAAGGGTGTTGATGGGTCTGTTGGGTCTTTTGAATGTGATACGTTTTTTCCGCTTGATGGGCTTGATGCGGAGAATGGGTGGCGGACTGCTAAATCTGCGGAGGTTTCTGAGTGGGTTGGGGAGGAGGTTGATGGGTTGTGGAAGAGCGAGGGGGATGTTGAGGTCCAGATGGTTGGGTTTGAGAAGGTCTAGGTACCTAGCTCTGACTTAGGCTTTGTGATCATAAGAATGGATTCGATGTGCGATATGATATGTTCGATGGTGATTTGGTCTTCAGTTAGACCTACATACAACAGTACTATGCACATGGTAATGAGAGACAATGCAGAATCAAACGCGCAGAATATAGGCATGAAATGAGAGGATATGCAAGGCTATGCAAATCGAGTGAATCAGAATGCCTCGAAAAGAAAACGCCTATGAATGCAAAAAAAAGGAAGCCACCGATGGTAGATAAGATAAATAGCAAGGATTAGTCACTATTTTCCTTCATGAATTTGACAAATGCTTTCTTGTGCACTAGGCCAGCATATTTGCCGCCCTGCGTAACGCAGAGATATCGGAGACCAAGCTTGGCAAAGCATTGGTAGACCAAATCAATGGGAGAATGGACATCGAGAGCGATCGGAGCCTAAATTGTAGCTTGTTAGAAATAACGTCAAGGTCAGAGGGATTTCCAAACTAACTGGGTCAATATATCGAGTGAAATCAACCTGATTAGCATCCTCGTTCTCACTATCATAGATAACCGTAGATGCATCCATGGCCATCAGACAGATTGTGTTGTCTTCTTCGTCGCCAAGGGTATCTAGTGCATACTCGAGATCCGGTGCCGGGATCAGGCCTGTAAGGACACCGTCACGCAGGATCGGGAGTCCGCTATCCAGTTCACCAGCCATGAGTAGATGCTCCAGCTTTGAACGGAGCTGTGGGGCCGATAGGAATGGTGATTCGGAGATATCAATGACTCGATTCTTCCGCACTGGTCGGACAATATCTCCCAGCTCGGCATCGGTTGTTGGTTGGAGCTTGCTGTCGAGGAATGGGTACGAGTTCATATCAGTCAAGAGGTCCTGTTTGGTCAGTATGAGCATGAGATTGGGGGCTCGAAGGTAACAACTTACATAAATGCTGCGAGGTTCAATAGCATCTGCCGTCCACTTGGCACAGAGAACTGCCAGAGAGAAAGGAAGAACATGGTTGAGACTTCCCGTCAGTTCAAATAGGATGACAGCAAGCGTAACTGACAACCGTGTCACGCCGCACATAGTTGCACCTGCGGCAACCAGAGCGTAGACGCCTGGAGTCACACAGGACTCTATCCCAGGGACAGCAGGGCAAGAGTCGAATAAGAAGAAGGTGGGATGCATAAGAGCCCAGTATTGAATCAAGTGCCCGACGATTCGTCCCATCAGGCCACCGACCACCATGGACGGGACGTAAATGCCTGCAGGAACCTTGATGCCGAACGTGATGATAGTCAGAACACTTTTGATAACGAATGCCACCATGAGATACTGGACGATTTCGAGAATGCCTTCTTCGCGGGGACAAAGCCCGGTGCTCTCTACGTCTGACTCGCATGGACTCGCTAACTCGAATAGTAACTCGGTCACAGGAAGCTTGGTGTATCGGTTCCAGAAGCTGACGAGACCTGTTATCAGCGCAACCAGGAAGACTTCCAGCATTGGCCACCGCTTGATGGCTGGGATACGTCGGAATGATCGTGCCCACAAGCTCGAGGCTTTGATGAAAAGGGCACCAGCTGCGCCTCCCATTACACCGAGGAGGATAAAGACGAAGATCTCGAAGATCTCCCAGTCAGACAAGTACCGGACCTCGAAGAGTACGACCTTGCCAGTTCCATAGGGGTTGAGGAACTTGAGAGATAGCGTTGCCGCAATGCAGCAGAAGAACGTCCGGAAGAGGGTCTTTGGTGGGAAGTAGTAGCTGACTTCTTCCAAACTGAACAGAACACCGCCAATGGGAGCACCAAAAGCAACAGCAACGCCACTAGCGGCACTGGCACTCAAGACCTCGCGTCGCTTACCATCATTCTGGTTGTATTTGGCGAACAGGCGACAGCAGATGTTACCAACACACGTGGCAATGTGAACGTATGGACCTTCCTTGCCTAGACTCAAACCAGACGAAACACTGAAGATCAGACCAATGGTCTTGACGACCAATGTCTTCAATCCCATATATCCATGAAGAACAAAGCCACTGTTTATGACCTTAACTTCGGCAACTCCACTGCCAGCAGCAGAGTAATAAATCATAGCCGGACGCGGTGGGTGATTCGGAAAGCTCCCATGCGGCGGCGGACTGGTCTCTGGCTCTGAGAGGGGTGATGCCAAAGCTTCGAGTCCATTTCCGGATTTCGTACCGTGGGAGTCGGCCCCCAAGTTCTCATCAAGCGTAGCAAGAGAAATAGAAGAAGGAACAACGGTCTTTGTAAGCAAAGTCAAAGCGCATGAAATGAGAGCCAAAGCCACAACCCATACTACAAACATGAAGAAGTCAATCCATATGTTGTCGGTGTTGGATGGCCGGAAGATGCTCGACCAGGACCGCCATCCATCACAGATAGCCAAACCCTCGCAGCAGCCTCGTCGACTCCTAAATAAGCGGGTTGTGCAGAAGCCTTCCTTCAAATCATAGACTGCACCCTCGGTAATGTCGACGAAGTAGGCGATGGCAGCTGTAATGCAACCAATCAGAGCAACCAAGATCCATCCTTGCGCACCATCAAAAGCTGCCAGAAGTCGGCCGCGGATGTCTTTCCGTTGACGGAGTAGGCGAAGACGGGCTCCATCGGCAATACTGTCGTGCACCCAGTCGGTAGAAGTAAACTGATCATACCAGGTACGCTCATCCAGAAACGACGAGGCAGTGAGGTTATCCTTGGTGGACGCAGGAAGACTAGCGGGTCTGCTCTCGTCATCAATACTCCCTCGACGACTCAACCGCTTGCCGACGGAGTTAGCCCTGCTGTGATTCCGTGTTCGACGCAAGCTCCCAGCTGCCAGAAGGTGCCGCAATGATTCCGTCCCCAAGACCGACGCCCCGGAAGTGCTGGTGTACGATCGCCGCGGAGCCCGTCTGACCGACCCCTGGCTAGCACCCAGGAGGCTTGTAGTTTCTGTGACCTCCAGTGGGGCATCGAGAGATTGGTAGCCTGTATGTGGCTCGGCGAGGTAGCTTTGAGATCGTCTGTAGGCCGTCGGGGATGGCGGTGCTGTTCGAGCGGTATGTGTGTTTTCGGAGTCCTCTTGCTCGCGCGAGGCAGAGCTGACTTTGGGAAGGGACCGGGGCATGTCGTGAAGCCTTTATGCTTCAGTTATGGGCAGTGGGGCTGCCACTTGTCAGTTTTGGCTGCGGCTGGACTATGTCGGTTTCGTTCCACATGAAAGTTGTGTATGCAGTGAAACAGAGCTCACGCGAGCAAGGTTAGGGGCTTGACTGACCGAAACGCATATCTCCCTCTCTTCTGTGTCTCTGAGCCCAGTGGAAAGAAAAGGAAAGAAAAGAGAGATAGGAAGATAAGAAGAGCTAGAGAAGGTGAGGGAAAGCGGACCCCTTTGAACATCACAGGTGATCGACGCAATAGTGGACGCGTCAGGTGCAAGTGCAGTCTGACCCACAGCCACTGTATACACACTGCACATCTTTAATATATTCTGCATTCATTGTCCATCGTGTACTCATGATTTGATCCCTCGATTGGAGATATCAAAGTCATTCCGTCTCTCCCCGCGTTTACTGCCGATCATCCCCAAAACAAAGCGCCTTGAGCGGCGAATTCAGAGCTCTGAGTCAAGGGTGTGGAATGTATTGCCATGATTTGATGAGATGCAGCCATGCCATGTCTGGCAACCTTGTTCACCCGGGGCTCGGGGCTCAGGGTCCATGCATAGACACATAGCCAATCTAATATCTAGCAATATGCTCAGGTGGGCTTGGGGTGTACACCCCATGTCTTAGTCACTGTCATCTGGACTCGACTCTCGACCTGGCGTCTATTATAGCGCTAAGAACTCATGGTCACTGGACTATGCTAACAATCTCGAAATCTCGGTATTATCTTGCTACCTTGGGGCATGCCCGGCCGAAACGGATCCTCAATGCACCAATCCGATCGCCGTTCAATGCTGATCTCTTGGCATGCTTCATAACTGTGTGAGGGACCAGCGTCAATATGATCCGGGAAACATTCTTGTCGGAGAGTAGTGGTGCTGTTTCGGGTCTTTGTATACTCCGAGATAGATATCAGGTCTAGCGGGGGACAGATGAAAAACCTCCTTGGTTAAGCTTTCGGTTCTCTTTAAGTAACATTAGTGCATCGTTCTTCGGCATATTCCGACAGGGATTGTTCCTACTTGCTGTGTTGATCGATGAAGCAGTTGTTAGTAGTAGGCTTGTTTCGATAGTCTCATGTATACAGTTAGTCATTCGTGTCTCAAGAATATATTTTGGTGAAATACTCAGCTACTCAGCTATCTTAGTTCTGGTGTTGGGTGTTGTGCGGGGTGGAAATTGGGCCGAACTTATGCAAACAAATTGCCAGAATAAACAATTGGTGGATAAATTTCAGATGAACTATGGAAGATAGAATATATAGATATCTACCTGATCAGATGTTGCGATGTTGTCTGCAAACGAAGCTCCACTGATTTCCCTTTCGTCCACGGAGCAAATCCCCCACTTCCCGATCTTGTCGCTTATAAGCCTTGTCTCCCATACACGTATCCTCCCAACTTCGACCATTTCGGCCTGACATTATTACAATATGGGTTCAGAAACTCAGGACAATATGTTCAAGCCATATGACCAGTTCATCCTCTTCGGAGACTCCATCACGCAGATGGCCTGCAACCAAGAACTAGGCTTCGCTTTTCACGCCGCACTCCAAGAATGTGAGTGTCCCCTACAGCCATATTACACGGTGCAATGCTCATAAGCAATCAGCCTACAGTCGGAGACTAGACGTGGTCAACCGCGGTCTCGCGTAAGAAACTCCAACATACAACACCAGCCGAGACTGAATCCAATACTAAAAAACCAACAGCGGATATACCACCGCACATGCCGTCAAAGTCTTTGAGAAATTCTTCCCCAGCCTAGAAACAGCCACCGTGCGCTTCATGGTGAGCACCCATGATCAGTCCTATTCACAATCCCAACACCAACTTACCAATTGCACAATCGGATAGACCGTTTTCTTCGGCGCCAACGATGCATGTGTCCCAGGCCACAGCCAGCATGTGCCTGTGGAGACATACAAGGAGAATCTGAAAACTATTATCCAGCACCCAGCAACCCGCACACAGAACCCGCGCATCATCTTGATCAGCCCGCCGCCCATCAATGAGTATCAGCTGGAGAGCTTTGATGCTGCAAAAGAGACTCCGCACCCGAGCAGGACGGCTAGTGGGACCAGGCAGTATGCTGACGCTGCGCGGGAAGTTGGTGCTTTACTCAATGTCCCTGTGGCGGATCTTTGGACTGCATTTATGAAATCTGCCGGGTGGGAAGAGGGACAGCCTTTGGCTGGGTCTCGCGATGCTCCAAATTCTGAAACACTTTCGGGTCTTCTTACTGATGGTGCGTGGAGATATATTCCGAGTGGTTTCTGCTCGTGCTAACTTGGATAGGATTGCATTTGACTCCTGCTGGTTATCGTATTGTTTATGATGAAGTCATGAAGGTGATTGAGGCTAATTGGCCAGATCAGTTGCCGGATAACCTTCCGATGGTGTTCCCGTCGTGGGTTGATGCACCGAAATAAGGCAATTGGGGGAAGTAGATTGTGAATTTGTTAATTCTAGAGATCAAATATTCTGTGAATACATAGCTTGTTGGATTTAAGTGAAATAGAAGTATGAACTATGAAGTAGAAGTATACAGCCGTTAGTGGAGTAAGCGGTCTAGCCCCTCTCCGCAGTCCACGTTCCTCTCCAACTTTGGTCGTCATTTCCCTATTTGCACTTCAACTACAACTTCGATCTTGCTTCAACATAGAACCAGTCGTTGAATTACACGTTGACCTCAATCTCTTCGCCTGTACGCGTCTGATCCCGTGACTGGCGCACGCGTTCCTTCCCTACGTCACCCCGTATCCTTCAAGTCTCGACACTGTTGACGAACTTCCCGAGACTGTCTTCCGGCATCGTTAAGCTCTCCCATCGGTACTATCTCATCGACACTTATAAGGCCGCATCTCTTGATCGGGTTTAACGTCTGTTCTTCACAGACAGGGTGGACGGCCGGTGGGCCGTCTCACAAATAGTGGCAGGAGGGAGGAGAGAGGATAGGAGTTGAATCGAAACTGCCAGACTTGAATTGAAGGCACGTGCCTTGATATCCTCAGATACGACCCCGATAGCCTTTCCTCCTCCGAACTTCTTCTTCTCATCACCCTACCCCACAGGCGATGGATGCCCAGTATCCTTTCGCCTCCCGGGACGATATTTGGCGCGTCTTTGAAGAGCTAAAGGATCTTCAAATCTCTCATATTGCGCAAGGCGAACGACTCGCTCAGTTGGAGCGCCGGCGAGACGAGGATGCACGTATGAGAAGCCCCTGGGGTCCGACGTCGCCTTTTCCGAGCTCGGTAGGCACAGCAGCTCCAGGTAACAACCCATTCAAGGCTCACTCCAGTCCACCACTTACCAATCCTCCTCTACAGACTCTGCCTTTCACTCTCCCCCCGACGCATTCAAAGGGTTTGACCAAGCTCACCACTCCGCCATGCCTACCTCGGCGGTGGCCTTCGACGTGGAGGAGGAGCCTCGGCGTGGCACCTCTCGTGCTAACAGCGTTCGCTTCGATGAGAGCGCCATTCACGGGTATGGCCAGGCTAATCGCTCCAGCAATGAATTGCCTCCCCGGACTGGCAGTGGTCTAAGCAGCCATCCACTTCTCGAGCGGACAGCTTCTCACCAGTCCGACGGTGGTCACTCTCACCATTCTGCGCGGACTAACAGCCTGCGTCTGAACACTGGCCGTCTGGGCGGATTTACCTCTCTCGATTCCCCGTTGATTCCCCCGCCTGGACTCTTCTTGCTTGGTCCTGTGCCTTCTATCATTCGCTGCTGGATAAGTGACGACTTCACTAATGCCTCTTTGCTTTACGCCGCAGTTTGCTCTGGCTCTTACGTCTCATACTTGAGCTTTGCATTGATCCGCAACCTTGGGATGGAGGATATGATCACTCACGAGGAAGATGTTTCGTTGATCAAGCTCCCGGTTTACCTCCCCGAGGCCCTCATCCATCAAGCTTCCTCGCGCCCCGGTACTCCTATTCACCAGGTCCCTGCTGTGACTGTCCGTTTCGTCGTTCGCCAGGTTGAACCCATCGACGACACCATTCAGATCATCATTGGAAGTGACGTGTTGCGCGCCCACAATGCCGATATCCGGTTCTCACTTGACAAGTTGATTATGGTGGATGATGACCGCAACCGCGTTTCTGTCCCCCTCGTGCGTCCCGAGAAGGACTCCGTCTTCAAAACTCTGTGCACTTCTCCCAGTACCTGCACCCAGGATCAGCTAGGAAGCCACACTAATGGACATGCCGCTCCCGGTGTCATTCGCCCCCCTCCTGGCCTTCCCCAAATTCCAGCCTCCGCTTCTTTCTCTGCTAGACTACCAGTCAGCGAAGATGGCGATGCTCAGAAGTCACGGATCCAGGGTGAATACGGCGACGAGTCCACTCAGGCCGGAGCACGCGGGACTGCAGCCAGCACCCAGACTCCCGCAGCCCCCAGGACGGATAACATGCCCCCCTGGACTTCCTGGAGACGCGAGACAAAGAAGGCATCCAAGGTGCCTGATAAGCGTGAGATGAAAGTCTTCCGAACAGTCAAATCCAACGTCCGCGCACACCCCTCCGCCCCTAGCAGCACTACAGGCGAAATTACCGAAAGGCCGCAGGCCCACGTCGCTAACCAGTCCACCTCCTCCGACAAAGATGCCCTCAACCCAGTTGGGGGTGCCTCGGCGTTTGGATGGCTCAACCCCACCCAGCGCGGCCCAGCCTAGATGAAACAAACTAGGATTCGATTAGCCTTTGGGGTCACACTTGGGTCTTGAATGATCCCGGTTTACGACTTGATCTAACGACAGAGTAATAAACACATTTCCCAGGATGCATGTTTTGGGAACAGCAACAGAAACGGACAGGACAGGAACAGGCGCTGGGGCTTTTACAGTGGATGGAATACAATGTCTTCAAAATGACAGCTTCAGCGCTGTGCGCCAAATTCGAGAACAAGGCATGGCGTGCAGGATTCAATAAGACAAAACCCCCCAAAACCAAAACAAATCAATCTACACGGTCCATGCCAAACCATCTTCTCCCTTCTCTCTTACTATCAACGTCCCGTAACAAATCCCCAGCCAACCACTCTCCAAATCTCATCTAAATCTTCGAAAAGGCCCCTAAAGCCCCCTTAGTCTCCTCCTTACTCTCCTTGACCAACCCACTAACAGCCCTAAACCCTTCGTGCCCAGCATCCCCAATAATCTCAAAGAGAACACTCTCACTACTAGTAACAATAGCACCCGCATCCCTCAGCCGCGCCAATGCAATCCCTCGCTCCTCGGCATTCATACTACTAACCCCATCAACAAGAATATAAACCCGATGCCCCCTTTCCAACAAATCAAGCGTCGTCTGCGTTACACAGATATGAGTCTCGATCCCGACGATCATCACATCCAGTGGCGGGGATCCAGATCCAGGCTGTGGGAGTAGGTTTGAGATTTCCGGTGTTATCATTGAGAAGAGCGTTTTGTCCACGTCTGCGCGAATGTGAGGGCCGTTTAGGTGGTCTTGAAGTTCTGCGACTGTGGTTCCAAGTTTGCCTCTGTTTTGGGTTGTTATGTAGACTGGGATTTGGAGGGTTGAGGCTGCTTTGAGCATTTTTTGGGTTGTTGAGATGCTGGTTTTGGGTTGTTTGGTTAGATGGTGGACTTGGATATTGGGGGTGGTGTCGGGTTGATTCGTACAGTTTGGGGAACTCGTAGATTCCGCGGAATTTCTCTTGGATGTCGCAGATGCTGTTGTTTTGAATTGGTTGTTAGTGGTGTTATTGGGTTATTTTTGGCTGGCTGGGATGGGCATACAATAGCGCGGGGTTGTCTGGGGATTGTGTTAGTTATATATCGGGGGTTAGAGTAGGGATACTCACGAATGCGCGATGCGCGCGAGATGGTAGCCATGTTGGCGGTATAATGGGAGGATTTGGAGGAAGAAGCGCGACAAGGGAGAAGTAGAGGTAGAAGTAGAGGTAGGAGTAAGAGGAGAGAGGGACGTCGGTGGTCGCCGCGGGGAATCGGGGAATCGGAGATGCGGGGAGCCGAGGGGAAGTCCCCGTCTACAACAAGTGAAGCATTGGCAGTGAGAATAGAAAATCAACTTTTGGTACATCATCTGGGTCTAGCTAACTATATCTACAACTTAACCTCCTGCACCTTAGCCCTGCCAACAAACCAGCTATCGTCGCCCTTCGCCACAGCAGTGCGGATAGCGTAGAGCTCGTCGAGGAAGGCGGGCACAAAGCTACCAGGACCACGGACATGCTCACTTGCTGCTGCATTCTCAGCCGCGATCTCGTACATGAGAATGCCGGATAGCACGGCGAGGAGTCTGTCCGAGCGGTGGGCAGTCAAGAAGCAGCCGGAGATCGTGCCGATGGCGCAACCAGTCTAGACATTCACGTTAGTTTTTATTGGAGAATAGTTAGGTGAGATACATACTCCTGTCACTTGGCCTAGGTATGGGTGGCCGTTTTCGACAGTAATCACTCGCTCGCCGTCGCTGAGGTAGTCAGTTGCTCCTGTCATGAGGACGACGTTTCCTGTGGTAAGTTAGAAAATAATAATTGGACTCAATGGCCGTGGACTTGACTTACGCTCTCTCCGAGCAAGGTCCCGAGCTAGGGTAGCCTTCTGCTTGCTGTCTAGAGTGCTTGGCCCGCTGTCGACACCACGCTGTTGGACAGCACTGCTACCCCAAACCTGGCGAATCTCTCCCTCGTTACCCTTGATCAAATCAAAGTAGCCACCAGCCATAAGTTGAGAAACCGCATTGCGGCGAATGTGGGTGGCAGCCGCGCCGACGGGGTCGTAGATAACCGGGTTCCCACGTTCATTGTATGCCTTGATGGCTTTGAGGTAGTTGGAGACACTCTCGCTAGTCAGAGTTCCCATGTTGATTAGGAGTGCACCGTCAAGTTTGCACAGGTCTGTGGCTTCGTCGCCGTATGGGGCCATGATTGGGGACGCACCACTGGATAGTATTAGCATTAGGAGACATGGTTTCAAGTTGGTAGGGTCGCTTACATGGAGAGAACAACGTTAGCCACGAAGTTAGCCACAACAATGTTGATCATGCTGTGCACTAGAGGGTGTACTTCGACCATCTTGCGGACTACTTGAGGCACTTCGGTCAACAGGGCCTCGACTTCGTTCGGACGAGGGGCAGTGGACGCCACGGCAAACCGGGGAGGGTTCTTGATGAGTTCGGCGAAGTGCTTGGCGGATGCTGTGGGGTCATCGGCCGCCATGATGGCGCTGACAATGGCTACTCCATCCAGTGCTTTTTTGGGTGACTGGGACTGGTAGATGACTCTCTGTACATTGGAGTGGTTGATGCCGCCAATCGAGACAGTGCCCACGGGGGAATCGCTGATGGCTTCCAGGATAGCCTGAGTGCCCGCAGTTCCAATGACTGACTTGGTATTGGTTTTACTGCGAGTTGTCAGTGATTATCCAGCCCAAATTCAGGCGGAGAGACGTACGTTGGAGTGGCAAACATAGTACCGATTCCGAGGTAGTCGGCACCATCTGCAATAGCCTTCTTGGCCTCCTCAATTGAAGAGGTACTAACTCCAATGATAGCATTCTCGGGAAGAAGTCTCCGCGCCTCCTCGTATTCTGCAGATATCTCGTCAATATATGCATCTGAAACGAAACTGTGGCGACTGACTCAAATCATCTTGACCGATATGCACACCCTCGGCCCCAATAGCGAGAGCGACATCGACTCGGTCATTAATCAAAAGCGGTACATTGTACTTCTTGGTGATCTGGTGAAGTTTCCGGGCAGTCTCCACCATGGCACCGGTGTCATTGGATTTGTCCCGGTATTGCACCACCGTCACGCCTGTGGGGGGTTAGTCGAGTAACTGGCCGAAGGTATTGAGAAAAACTGACCTCCTTGGAGAGCCTGGTCCACAACTGTACACAGGTCCCGGCCCTTGAGGATGGCCGGGGTGGAGTCTGTGACCAGGTATAGCGAGAGGTCGACCATGATGTCCGGACAAACGTAGAGGAATATGGGACTTGAGAAGAACTAAAAGGCAGCTTGAGACAGACTATACTTGTACAACACTTCTGGCCCTATTCATTGCAAGAGGAAGATTGCTGCCGGTTGTGTGCCCGCGGTGGGGTACAACTGTAAGGTTTGGACTGCGTCGAGGCAACGTCTACGAAGGTGCATGACAATGGCCATTGTTAATCTTCATTCTACTCACTACCGTATATACAAACTGCAAATGAAACAATCAAACGACTTCGGAGTCAACGGCATATATCGTCCCAACTCCGACTTTTGCCCGGCACGTGCCGGCTGACATAACCCTTATTTGTCAGTTTAAAATCCTTTTTGTTTCCCACCTTCTCTCTTCCACCCATCCATCTCTGAAGGCTTTGAACAACGAAGCCTGCATTTCTTTCGCGTGAACGTCTAGTTCTACGCTCTACACTTATTATTGGTTAGGCATCGCCAACATCAATTTCCGCCACACGCCAACGGGTCTCCGGCCTCGGTCTCGGATTCCCCAAAGAACTTCAGCTGTTCTCAGAAAGCCTCACATTGAGAAGTCGTCTGCGAACTTGTCTATGTATTCGTCCTCCGTCCAAAATTTCGAACATTACCTGCCGCCCAAGCTGCAATCGTTTCGCGCGTCGAAACCTTGCAGCATACACCTCAGATCTTGTGGTTGAACCAACATTGTGACCTCTTCCAAAGGCATCACAATCAAGACAACAAAATCGACACGCATGTCGTTTCATCAACAAAATTCCAAATCAAGATCTCTTCGCTTCCTTTCTCGCAAGCCCCTCGTTCTCTCGTGAACCAATCGCTCAACTAAACCGTCATCATGGCCACTGTCAACATTCGCCGGGATGTCACCGATCCCTTCTATCGCTACAAGATGGAGAAGCTCCAGGCCAAGGTCGAAGGCAAGGGCAACGGTATTAAGACCGTTGTCGTCAACCTGGACTCCGTCGCCAAGTCCCTCAGCCGCCCTCCAGCCTACCTCATCAAGTACTTCGGTTTCGAACTCGGTGCCCAGGCTAACGCCAAGCCCACCGACGAACGCTGGATCATCAACGGTTCCCACGATGCCCCCAAGCTTCAGGACTACCTCGATGGGTTCATCTCCAAGTTTGTTCTCTGCAAGAAGTGCAAGAACCCCGAAACCGATGTCTCCATCAAGGATGAGAAGATCACTCTGGACTGCAAGGCCTGTGGTCAGCGCTCCGATGTCGACCCCCGCCTGAAGCTGAGCACCTTCATTGTCCGTAACAACCCCAAGGGCGGCAAGAAGGACAAGAAGAAGACCCGCCGTGAGCGCCAGAAGGAGAGGTCTGCCAACGGCGAGCAGGAAACCAGCCCTGGTGACAGCAACAACTCCGAGAATGGTGACGATGTCGACGAGGCCCCTGAGGCTGGTAGCGATGATGAGATGACCCGCCAGGCTCAGGCTATTGAGGCCGAGGTCGAGATCAAGGATGATGAGTGGGCTGTTGACGTTTCCGAGGAGGCCGTGAAGGCTCGCGCCAAGGATCTCCCCTCGGACCTGAAGCGTGCCCTTGTCATCGAGGACGGTGACGACGAGGGTGCCGATGGCCCCTCCTCCTACGAGCAGCTGGGCAGCTGGATCGTCGAGACTGCTGCCGAGAAGGGCGGCGTGACCAACGTCACCGACGTCGAGATCTACTTGAAGGCCAAGGAATTCGGCATCGAGAGCAAGCACAAGACCTGTGCCGTCCTTGCCCAGAGCATCTTCGACGAGAAGATCGCCAAGCAGATCGAGAGCCGTGCCGGTCTTCTCAAGAAGATGATCAGCTCCGAGCGTCACGAGAAGGCCTTCCTCGGTGGTACCGAGCGCTTCGTTGGCCAGGACCACCCTGCCCTCGTTGCTCAGATCCCAGCTATCCTGCTGGGTTACTACCAGAACGACATCGTGTCTGAGGAGACCCTCAAGGGCTGGGGCGCCAAGACGAGCAAGAAGTACGTCGACATCGCGACTAGCAAGAAGATCCACAAGGCCGCTAGGCCCTTCATTGAATGGCTCGAGAGTGCTGAGAGCGACGAGGAAGACAGTGATGAGGAGAGCGAGTAGATGGTTGATTCGTACGTCGTTTCGTGTTGACTATCGTTGCGTTCACCCTAAGATTGAATTTTGGAATTTGTATTCTTTGGATATGCTCATCTCGCGTGAACAATCCGGTTAGGTTCTCATCATTTAGTTTTAACCAGTCGCCACTCCTTTATCGACTATTGCTATCAAATGTGGTCTTTTTCTTAATACTTTCATGTGTAGACTGACTCGTACATGTAAATCTAACAGATGTCCGCACCACACCATGGAATATGTGTACTAGAGCATGATCAGGCGTACGGACACGAGTTTTTGCTTCGACCGGATGGAAGCGCCTGCATAGCCATTACGATACTAGTCAGGCTCCAACAGGTTAATAGAACTTTGATTGACTGACCATGGAATATGATCTACCACTGACAGGAGAAGTAAAGCATCACCTTTGCCGTCCGAGCCTCTTTCTGTTCAGACGGAGCCTCTGTGTCTTTCACATGTCCTATCCTGTCCTCATACTGCATAAACTACAACAGTGGCCATAAGTGTGTAAGTAACGGACTGTCTCTACTCAAAAGTCTCGAAGCGGGTATACTGTTTCATGCGTTGTTTTCACCCTACTTTGGCGTCTCTTTTTTACACCTCTTTTTTGCCCATTTTCGAGTGCCTCAGGCTCATCTTGTACATTGTATAATGGTTGGGGTGTGAGAGGACACACCCCCATACTCCCCCCAAATACGATTCTCATTCTTCGTTTTTTTTTATATCAAATTAATATGGCCTATGACTGTATCTACGGGCCCGAGTCAACTACCTGGTTCCTCCTACGTCTAA